AGAGATTTCACTCATTCTCTAAATCTTTCAGCATAAATAATCAAATCCATCATGCTTCCTTATTTATTTTCATTCTTGTAAATTATGCTTTAATTATGTATTTCAAGCAAGATTGTTTCCTAATCAGATATTCACTAACCATCCTCATTCCCACTTGGACCTCTGAATGGTCGTAACTTTTTCTGTAATTATCTTGTTCATTTAAGTTATCCAAAGAATTTTTCCCTTGGATTACACTTGTTCAAACATTGAACAATTTTCCCTAAATTCATATTTGATTTTTCCACTGGAGCATAACATGCATCTGTCATTATCCTACAAATTACTAGTTTTGTATATAGCCACAACAACCTATATTACAACAATTTGAACTTCTGATTTGCATTTTAGGCCTTCTATTCATAACTAAAACTCCAGCTATATTTCTCTTAATGAATTCAACTATTCCTCTCCATTAGATCATATTACTTTTATTCATATATATTATATTTATTTATTTATTTTAATTTGATTTATATGCCGCCCTTCTCCGGAGACTCAGGGTGGCTTACAATGCGTTAAGCAATAGCCTTCATACTTTTGTATATTTATACAAAGTCAACTTATTGCCCCCACAAACTGGGTCCTCAATTTACCTACCTTAGAAAGGATGGAAGGCTGAGTCAACCTTGAGCCTGGTGAGATTCGAACTTATAGTAAGACAGCTGGTGTTAATCACAATGCTATTAGTCTGCTGAGCCACCAGGCCCTTGTTCCCTTTTAAGTTTCAAAGATGTGCAATACACACACACACAATGTATATGTGTGTGTGTGTGTGTGTGTGTGTGTGTGTGTGTGTGTGTGTGTGTGTACACCCACCCACTAGCAAAATTTGAGGACTGGAACATCACTGAGAGACTGCCTGTTCTGAATTCTGCAATGCAGTTCCTAGGCAAACAACTTGTATTACAGTTCTAGCACACACACACACACGCACACACACACACACACACGTATGTATGTATGTATGTATGTGTGTGTAATTTACATAAACTATGAAAACTATACATAAAATAAATATATTATTTTGTTATTTATTACCACATGCAAACTGACACAGACAGAAATCAGACAAAGCAAACTTGTAACTAAATAAATATGAAATGGTCACATGCCAAAAATATGCTGATTTGTCCACCCCTGTTGATTCTCTTTAGGATTGCAGCTAAAATTGGTTTAATAATTTCACACGGAGTCATTCTTCAACTTGTGAAAACTACGAGTTCAATGTACTGATTTATTATTTTATATTATGGAAAATATTGTTTGCAATATCAGGCACCTTTAAACACTCATTCAAGTCATTTCACCAGAATTATTGAAAAGTTTTGCCAAAAAGCTCTTATTTGGAGAACTTTACTCTACTCTACAATAGATCTGCAAGAGTTAGCCCACTGAGTGAAGTTTTGTCCTCACAAAAACTAGCAGAAATCCCCTGGAAAACGCTTACTAATTCAACAGAACAAACTGAGTTATTTCACTCACAGTTAATTTTTGTGGACCCATACTTAGTGGCACCATTTTTTAAAGTTTCTATGGAAAAAAAGTAAAGTCCAAGAATATCTATTTCTTAAATACATATAAATAACCTTTGTAATATTATCTCAAAAGATGGATTTTGGAGAATCTCAAACAAAAGCCAACTTAAAGAAATGCAGCTAGTTCATTCTGGCAAATATCTATATTAATATGAATGTTTTAAATACATAGCATGAAATGTATAAAATAATATTTTATGATTTCTGTCTCTGTGATATCTAAGGTCAGAAAACTGACCAAATGACTATGGTCAGAAGACTGCATTAGCAATGAAGTTACTAATAGAAAACAAAGTTCCCTCAACGGCAATAAAACCATTGTTAGAGAGAGAGTGAGTGTGTGTGTGTACACACATACATATGCACACACACATGTATACACACACACACACGCACATACACACAAGTACTGTCTGTTTTCTTGGGTTTAAATTAGATTGTGATGTCCAACAGGTCTGCACAGTTTACATTGTAATTTGTTCAGCCTTGAACATAACCCAGAAATGCCTGCAATATGCTTTGCCACCAGAGTAGACATTCTTTTTGATTTTCTGAAAAATCAATGTGAAAAGTTTAAAATTCACTGTATAAACTCTACAGGTAAGAGTCATGTATTTAGGGACACAGTGGCTAAGACGCTGAGCTTGTCGATCGAAAGGTCGGCAGTTCAGTGGTTCAAATCCCTAGTGCCGTGTAACGGGGTGAGCTCCTGTTACTTGTCCCAGCTTCTGCCAACGTAGCAGTTCTAAAGTACGTAAAAAATGCAAGTAGAAAAATAGGGACCACCTTTGGTGGGAAGGTAACAGCATTTCGTGCGCCTTTGGCGTTTAGTCATGCCGGCCACATGACCACGGAAACGTCTTCGGACAGCGCTGGCTCTTCGGCTTTGAAAAGGAGATGAGCACCGCCCCCTAGAGTCGGGAATGACTAGCACATATGTGCGAGGGGAACCTTTACCTTCACCTTAAGAGTCGTGTAGGTAAACAGAAGGTTTAGCAAATATATCGTTGAAAATCCTGAACCATGCCATTATTTCTGTGTCAGTTAAAAAAGGTAAACTTGAACAAAGTAAACTAAGTAAACTTGAACAAAATAAGAAAGGGAGCTATAGGGTTTCTAGTCTTACATTAAAAACCCATGCACTTCACCCTCTGTAGAAGGCTGCTTGAATAGTGCGCAAAGCACAAAACGTGCCAGGCATTACGTTAAGTCCTCAATTTAAGGAGTTCATTTAGGGATAGTTTAAAGTTACAATGGCACTGAAAAAAATGACTTATGACCATTTTTCATACTTACAACATTGCAGCAGCCCCATGATCCCATGATCAAAAGCCAGACCCTTGGCAACTGACTCATATTTGTGACGGTTGCAGTGTTCCAGGATCAGGTGATCCCCTTTTGCAACCTTCTCACAAGCAAAGTGAATGGGGAAGCCAGATTCACTTAACAACTTTGATACAAACTTAACAACTGCAGTGATTCACTTGACAAGTGTGGCAAGAAGGATCGTAAAATGGAGCGAAGCTCGTTTAACAAATGTCTCAGGTACAGAAATTTTGAGCTTGATTGGGGTCGTAAGTCGAGGACTACCTGCATTTAGAAAAGAGCATGGATAGGCTACAGAGGTTTTCCCTAAAAGCTTCCCTTCTTCAACACCCAATTTGACAGAGATCTATTGAAAAAACCCACATCAGACCTATCTCTAGCTTTTGCACAGGACACTTTGAGGAATACCTCAAGAAGAAAGAGCGAAAAGGACCTGTTTGGGCTGAAATTTAGCTACTGTCCCAAACATTATCGCCCTAGAACTGTATTTAAATGGGGCAGTTTTATTAGCTTGCATCCTAAGAATCATCCTCTTATAGCCAAATACAGGGGATTGGTTCCTTTGCATCCTGCCTTAATTTTGCCCTGCTATTTTCGTTATATTGCAATGTATGTATGTAAAATAGCTGTAGGCGTGGACAGTCCCTCACCACCCTTTAGTGTCCGTGAGGCGTGCCATGCTACTCCAAGATACCATTCAGTTGGCTAAAGCATCACAGCAGTTTCTTCAGTTATGAGAGAATTCCGAAGTCAATGCTCAAAAGAAAATAATGCAATTCTATGCGAAGTATCATTCTTCAGTACTGAAGAGCTGTTTGCAGATATGCAATGATTACTGAAAATGTACCAGCTTTTGAAGAATGGGAGAAGGGCCAATTCTTTTCCCAGCCAAGTGACAGTGTTTCAGAAGCTTCTGAACTAGCCTCACAATTAAAAGATTAAAAATATGTCTCTAAATAATTCTGACAGAATTTGTTTTTAAAAGTAAAACAAACAAACAAACAAACTTTGTTAGGTGATCCCAAGATTACTTTAAAACGTGTCAGACTAGTCTACTTTCCTTGAGAGGGAAAGTAGAATTCACTATTTGGACCAAGAATACGCAACCTTGGTGGGGTTTATTGAAGGCCACATCCAAAAAGTCTATGATGGGGGAGTTAAGGGCGAAATGATTGCCTGCCTTGCAAAAAATAAAGAAAAAAATGGCATCATCCTTTTGTGTGAGAGTCTGATGGTGACATTTGGGCTACCTTTTAAATTACATCTGTTTGTGGGAACAAACACAGAGCCCGGGGAAGTCTTGATATCTTGCTGGAATAAATAAATTGAAAGCCTGACTATTGTGTTCAAGATACAGTAATATAACCAAAAAGGGCAATTCTTTTATCTGTGTTCTTTGTTGCAGTTATTTTATTTATTTATTTGAACTCTTGTTTACTTGCGCAGAGTTTCCAAAACAGGATAATCATCCCACAAGGAACCTACTAAATCTACTGCTAGCTATGCAAAAGTTCCAAGTTTTTCTTTATGAAGTCTCCAGAAGAAGCTTTAACATTAACTTTCTGAAGCACTACTATAGGACAGAGAGTTTCTTATTTTTTTAAGAAAAGTTTTTATCTGGATGAAATATGAAACTATTATTTAAGTTATACAATTTTTCTGTTCAACTTTATATATATGGCAGACTGCTTATTTTGATTGAAACAAACAAACTTTCTTCTCTATCTATCCATCCACAAGCATATATGCAGCGTGCACATAAATGTACATACATACACACCTGCACCTATTTATACTCTCATTTTAGGACAATACTACAAATATTTATCTTGAATTCATAAGCAGAGATACAAGAATATGCACAAATGTTTGTCTTTCCATTATGTTTGTGTGTGTTTGTATGTGTCAGTTTATGCATGTGGGTCTGTTTGTGTGTGTGTCTCTCTCTCTGTGTATACACACAAATTCAAATTTGATGAAAGTTTTATATGAAACAAATTTCTAGAATTCTATGCAAACTGTGGCATGATGAAAATTTGGTAACTGCAATTTGCTCCAAAGAAACTAAAGCGATGATTAGGAAAAACAGTACCTTACCTGTCCTTATAGTTGATCACGGTATCAATTATGGCATTCATTTGCTTTGTCAGTTTAGGTGGATTGGGTGACAATTTTTCAGCTGGAGGCCTTCCTCTCCTCTTTTTTGCCTTCTCACCGTCTTCTTTGCCTGAATCCTTGTCCACATTTCTTCTCCTTTTACGTTTTTTAAGCCGAACCTCCTCTTCCATTTCTTCCAAGTTGCCGTCTTCAATTGCCTATTAATTAGGAAAACAAGAAAATATATACAAATATGTAAAGATGCGTAGAATAAATATATATTCAATGAAGTCTAAATGTCACAAACAACTTTGTAGTGTTTTGTGAGCTGAACAGTTTATAAGTTCAAGTTGAACAAAAGAATTTTAGGAACCATCAACTGTCTTTAGAAACACAGCAATATCATTGTTCATAAGTAGTCTGATAGGAAAGTCAACCCCAAAAGGCATTTGTTGCTGCAACTGTATACACTCAATTAAGTAATGATCTATTGTAGTCTTTAAAACAATTACCCTCAGACATCATTTTAAAGGTATCTTTATATACAGGGCAATTTTAACAAATCCAAACAAAAATTCCTTCAAAATATATTCACACACATTCCTCTTTTTGCAAAGGAGTTTACAAACAATTTCAAAAAAATGTTTCAGTATTATACATCTAAAACAACGTGCTTTTCCTTAATACAATGCCTACTCACAATGCAGAATAGCAAACAATGCATTGTTTGATATCTAAAGAATAGTAGCGTTATGGGGTGAGGAAGAAACAACACAATTCAAACACATTCAAGCAACATTTACTGGTTTAAAATTTACCTGCAAATATGAACCTTAAATCACAGCCAACAACACTATACAATGACAGAATGAAAAATGCTGCAAAACCAGATCTGATTTAAAAAAAAAATTATTCACACTCTCAGAAATATATGTGACAATCAGGGAATTTGAACTTCAAAAAAATAATAATAAATAAACAGAAGAAAAAGGCAAAGATGTGAGTAGTTCTGCTTTACAAACAGCTTAAAATTAACAATGTGAAAAGAAAAAGAAAAAGGCAACCCTGCTTTTTAAAAATAAATTACATCAGCCTTTATGATGCTTTCTCAAATCATAAATGTTGACACTGTCCCTTCTGCTCCCCTTTAATACCTAAGATACATGCAAATGTGAATCAATCTTTTTCTGAGCTGAAACAGCTCTAATCGTAAGGCAATTACCTTCATTTTTCCACAGCACCAAACATGGCTAATATTTATGATCATGTGAGTGTAACAATCAATATACAAAGAGTGATTACATCCCAGACACAATTCCTTTCACTGGGTTATGTTGCTTGCAAAACATTTTGTGAATAAACCTGGTACATCAGACAAAACAGGCTGGCATGTTAAAAATGCCAGGGAGATTTCAGTCTCTGTTTCTTATTCATCCTTCGATGTGCAAATCCAACGAACAAACATGAACACAGAATCCTGAGGGAGAGACGCTAACCCAGGCCTTAATAATCAAAAGACAATTTCCACCATGCTTCCACAGCGTTCAGCAAACCACTATGAAGGAGCTTAAGATCTGATGAGTTAGGTGGGAGAAGAGAGAATATGAATATATCTATACATATCTATCTATATATGTATGTATACATCTGCACACACATTCATTAATATTCATTTGACTAAAGCAGGACACCCACTACACATCACAGCAGCTTCCGAAGATTATGCAAAAGAAACTGTTCTGCAAATCTGGGAAGCTAGAAATTCTAATAATAAATACAGCATGCAGGGCTGTCAACAGTTAATGTTATCGCTTCTCCTTAAGCACTCATTTGTACACAGAAAAACACAGAGAACATCAGCTTTTGATGTGTTACACACCTACACATGCCTGCGATGTAGTTCTACTGAATCTTCAAGACGGCAATGAAAAAGGATATTTACCTTACCACTATCAGCAGGCCGGCTATCGGAAATCACAGTTAGTGGGGATAAAATTAACAAGCCAGCAAAGCAGCGAGCTGCTAGTCTCTTCATCAGCTGATCAGGAAAAAAAAGAGAGCTGGGGAAAGGCTATGTTTTCATATACAAGTAATTTTATTTTACTGAAAAGGCAACACTGAAAGGAATGTAGATACTCAAATCTGCCGTTTCATTCTACTACCTTCCACAAGGCCCAAAGCCTTCTCCCTTCAAGCCTCTTTAATAATGACAACTACTTATCATATTTCCCTATTATTATTCCAGGAATACAAATAAAAATTATTTTTCAGCAGACTAGTTACTGATTCCTGGAAGCATTTTAATTATAGTATCAATATTTTAAAAACCCAGATATATAAATATATATATATTTTTAAAAAGAGAAACAGTGAAGTCTGTATTTTAAGGCTGTATAGCACCCAAGGCTGCTTCATTATTCACAGATAATTTTAATTTACTGGGATTACTTTAAATACCAATTCCCTCCCCCACTCCACTAATTTTTTTAACCTTGGTTTAACATGCTTCTGAAAATGATTTTTTTAAATTAAACAAATCAAACGGTCTATTTTTTTTTCTCTCTCTCTGCTCACAGATAAGCACACCACTGGTCTATTAATTTTCACATGCCGCACCTGCTTGAATTTGCCTCTTACAATATTTTTTTTGTAAAAATGATATTGCAATGGAGATTACAGATTTTCATAAATATTTCCGTTGTACATTTGTGTGTGTTTTATAATTTTGTGAATAGCAGACAAATGCTGCTAAATTATGAAACATGATTTTTTTTAAAAAAACCCAACAATTTGAATAAAAATATATTCTCTGCATTTTGTGAAACATTCGTGAAAATTCATACATTTGCGTTCATCAAATTAAAATGCTGATGTACCAAGTGTATAATTTTAATCAGATGAGGTGGCACCCAGTTTTAATTTGTGATTTGTATTAATTACGGGAACAGTCAATTTAAACCTTTTAAAATTGACAGTAAAGGAGCATATATAGTTTTCTACATATGTGACAACATTTCATGTATTTCAGTCTCCAAAACCTATATTTATTAATGAGTCTCAGCAGAATCTAGAGTTTCTCTGAAATAGATGCCATTGTACCTAATTACAAATTTCTATAAAATAGATGCTATAGTACCTAATTACAATTTTTTAATAACACTAACTTTCCATCCAGCACCCTGTGAGCAAGTGTCTACCTTTTTCTCCAAATCTTTCCCAGATCATTTAATACAGTTCTCCAAAGCAGACTCCAATGATGTATAAGACTGACAATGCTGGACTTCACTAATATTAATAAAACCAGTCCTAGAAGTACTTATATCAGATACAATGATATGTAACCAACATCAGTAAAACATAGTTGCAGCACACTTCCCAGTTCTACTGTTTCAATGTAACACAAAGAAATCCGTGATGTCAGTGTGACAAAGTCCTACCAGGCTGAGATAATACCGTATATCTCACAGAAAGCAGTAAAAAGCAGCAAACCATCACTTATTTACTTTTGACTGGAAAGGGATGGAAACTGCCATTTGAATTTTTTCACTTGAGCTCAAAAATGTCTGTAGTTAGAGAAAGCAAATTGGTTGCAAGCACTAAACCAACCCTTCCCTAAATCCCTTCCCTTTTACATTAGCAACCTTTTTGTTAAAATGGGGGAGGCAAAAATGATACCTTGGGTGCTTCATAGCACAAACACATATTGCTAAATTGATCTCTCTGTTTATCTAACTTTATTCCCGCAATACCAATCTCACAAAAGTTGGTTGGTTAGTTGACAGAAAGTTAAGGGACTCCAAATTATATAGTGTTATGTTGAAACTTGAACTCGAGTCTCCTTTGCCCAAATTCTACATTGGTTTTTAATATAATTAGATTAACTCATTTTTTAAAAAAAAACAAAGTAATCAAAAGTCAAAAATCCAGAATCTTTCACATTTATGAACTGCTAGGAGCCTATCAGCTCTTTCAGGTAGACCAGGTCAAAAACAAATTCCACAAAGACTACCAAAACTCTACTTTATTGCTTTAGAGTACAAAAAGAGAATCTTGGATGTCTGGTAAAGCTTTTTTCTCTCTTTCTCTCCCCAAATACATACCAAAGAAAATCAGGGTAAATCTTGAGTTTCTTTCTCTTACACCTTCTATAATCTGTCAAGCGATTAAATCACTCCCCATCTTGCTTTACTATACAATACCATAACTTATTTATGTTAGATATGCAAAAGCCTCTTCCAAAAATATGGAATATGTTCTCTTGTAATCTAAATATAATCCCCAATCTCTGTGTTTTTAATCTAATTTTGCAACATAGTAGCCTACGTGTATTTTATATACCTAGGTGTATATGAAATCATCAAGATAGTAAAAGAATTGAAATGGAAATGGGCTCGTCACATAGCAAGAAGAGCTGATGGCAGGTGGACCAAGGCAGTCATAGAATGGATCCCACTTGATAAAAAGTGTCCACAAAAGAGACCAAAAACAAGATGGATCGATGACATCAGCAAGGACAGCGGGCCCAATTGGCAAAAGAAAGCTCAGGACCATATAGGTTGGAAACATGTGGAAGAGGCCTTCATCCTTCTGCAGTGGACAGACAATGACTAAAATGATGGTGATGATGATGATATACCTACATAGAATATGCATTTTAATTATTTTGCTACCTTTTAAAAATATTTATTAGATGGTAGTACTCCTGTAGGTGAGTATAAATAATTTATTTTCCTGAAAGTATATATGATTTGTGATTAGACTATTATGTGATGATAATGATGATGGTGATTATCTGAAATTTTCTCAGATTATTGCATTGTTGGTTCCAGTCAGCCAGATGTTTAGATTGGATTGGGCTTTATCCACCTATAGTATTATTTATTATTAGCACCACCACTAGCAGCAGCATGCTATCTTTCTCATAGTTAATGTACCATAAGACATATACAAGTTGTTTTGATTCCACAAGTATATACAGGTAACATCAAGTGAAGAAATTTGGCATCTGTTTACTTGTATATCAAATTTCTAAGGCAGCCCAATTCCATAAGGATTCTGGGTGATGTACAGCATTAAAAATAGTTTTACTTTGTTGTTCTGAGGCTAAGCACACACTTTTCACATAAATCTCCCAAGTACAATCCCTCATTTCTCCAGAGTAAGGGCAAGAAAGACTGAGTTCTTCAAAACAAACTGCAAGAAATCTTAGTGGAGGTGATGTATAGTCCAGCAATGAAGGGAGGGATAACTGTGAAGTAGAAAGACCACAATTTAATTTTTTAAAAGGCAGCTTCCTATGTGCCTAAGGGATGAGAGGAATCACAAGTATTAGCTGAGCTTGCAAGCAGCTATTTTTCAAATCATTTTGGATTCACTACTTCTGGAATGCTGCCATGTAGGTCAGTTCTGTTTATATGGCAAGTAAAAACACTGCTTTTTGCTTCTGCGCATATATCCCAACTTCTATTTTATTTTAATAGCTAGCATTTCTTTGTCTTTTACTCAGCCTCTGATAAAACCACCTTTTTTAGACTTGTAATTTGGGTTGAAATTCTCCCCATATCAATCATGCAATCTACATCAAGCACCAGATCGACCCCAAGCAAGTAAGTCCCAGATGTTCCATCACAGAATGCAACTGACAGGCAAGAGCATTTGGGCATATTCCAAATGACAAAGATTCTCAGAAGAATTAAAACATCTGGTGAGACAAGGATATAAATCTTCATGGCTCATTGCAAATGTTCATATTTTTGGATTTCAGGATTGTTTAGCAGGGATAAGAAAATGAAAATACGGAAAGAATGCGTTTTCCAACTTCTAGGGATATATAGATAGTCCTCGACTTACGATCATAATTGAGCCCACAATTCCCATTGCTAAGAGAGACAGTTATTAAGAGAGTTTTGCCACATTTTACGACCTTTCTCACCACAGTTGTTCACTGCAGTTATTAAGTTAGTAACACGGTTGTTAAGTGAATCTGGCTTCCCGTTTGAGTTTGCTCATTTGGTTGCACACTGCAACTGTCATAAATATGAGTCAGTTGCCAAGCATCTGAATTTTGATCATGTGACCACAGTAATCCTGCAGTGGTCAAAAGTGTGAAAAATGGTCTTAAGACACTTTTTTCAGCAGTATTTTAACTTAAAACGGTTACTAAACAAACTATTGTAAATTGAGGACTATCTGTATTTATTCATTTCCCCAAGAAGTGATATTGTAACAATGGTTTTTTATATCACAAGAAATTGCATCCCCTTAAGAGATGTAACTTATTACACATGATATAGTACACAATCCAAACAGAAACATTTACAATGCAGACAATACAAATACCACCCCGTATCTTTGCCCAAAAGCTTCCTTGTTCACCTCTGAGCAACTATGTGAACTACTTGAAAACTACTGAACTTAACTGCAGTAAAAAAATCTTCTTCCTGGATCAAGTTATTTATTCATCAGCATAATTACAGCTAACAAAAATTTCTTCCCATCAGCAATACAACAAAATGGACCATCCAAAGGCAAGAGAATGGTTTCTTTATATCTGCGTCCATATGCACACAAACACGCAAACAAACACACATAATGGAAGGGAATTAATATGAAAATATTTGCATCCGGAAACACACCTGCCTGACTCTCTCTCCCTAAAAAAAATGTGAGGCACATTTACATCCTCTAGTCATTCTGGTGCTCTACATTCTAGTGCAGAACAAAAGAAATGGGAAAACATTCCTCCAAGCCTAATTTATCATTCCTTTATCAACTCTTTAAATTACTGAAGAGGCAAAGTCCCTAACAGAATGAGTATGTTGAAGTAAAGGTAAACTCGTACTCAGCTCAAATGTCTCCTTCCCAATCATCCTGTGCAGTTCTTCAACACCACTCAATTTAAAGTTCTTCAGTTCCACTCAATTTAAAGTTAGACGAGCAAGTTTCTACTATTAAATCCAAAACCTCAAAGATCAACAATTTTAGTAGTATCTGATAGGGAGGTACCTCCAATTACTCGTTCACCTCAGAGGGCAATTTCATTTTATTCTCCAGTTTGTATTCTTGTATCTTATAATTAATACTGAAAAGAATAAGTTTTACATACCCTTAACCACTGTTTCTCTGTCAAAGCATCACTGTAGTCCACATCCCGACGCTGACGGGACCCTCTCCCAAATATTTTTTCCTCCTCCTCTTCGCATGTAAGTCTTTCCACTTCAGCATCGTCTTTGATGATCCAAGATGGCAAATCGTCTTCCTCCATCAAGCGCGGTTTGCGTTTTGGGTTTCGAGCATCCTCCCTACGCCTATCCAGGTCCATTCGCTGGAGAAGTGATAAATATGATATTTAAGAAAGGTGATGGCAAAACAAATGCTGGCTTTGTATTTTCTCAATAAAATTATTTGCCATGCATACTTTAGCAAATGACAAACCTGGATTCTGCAACACCACCATGAACTAGAAATATTTGCTGAACAGGAAATGCAATTAAACATCCACTCTAAGAAGCATATCTTAAATATAGTAAGCTATATACATCAGCTGTTCTAATATTGGATTTTAGCCAAAATGCAAGCACCAAGAAACGAGGAAATTATCAGGATGACTGAGAAATAGAGTTTGCAGAAGTACAGAGACCCTTCAACAACAAATTTAATTTATATATATATCTTAATAGTTTTAAGCATCAGTTCTTCCACAATAATCTTCTTTTAAAGTAATATCAAAGCTAAGAGCTACGACAGCTTTTGCTATCACCCACCTTTTCAGCAATCTTTTCTATAACCTGATTTCCAAGTAAATTAGGCTACAATTTAGTAGGACACCAAGTGTACTCCTTCGCTTTCCTTTTCCTGATTTAGCTGATGCTCAATTTGGCAACAATTTGGCATCAATTTAGCTGATGCTCAATTTGGCAATAAATGAAAATTGGGAATTAGCATTTAAAAAGAAATATAAGTTTATTAAGCAAAAAGAAATCTCAAAGCAATAATTGCTTAATCTGATTTGTTTCCTACCATTTTTGTTTCTATACAATAGTAAATTAAAGTTTAACCACAGTAAATTCTGTTCTTGAAGTTAGGTGCAAGGCAGACGGGTTTTGGGTGCACATATTTCTGCCTATGCACAAATTAGCGTTTACATACTAATTACCTGAACACAATATGAAAACCATATGGATGTATTCCATTCTAACCATTGTGAATTTTGACTTCAATTCCTTTTAATGTGTCAATGTGTCATTGTCATAAGATCTACACATAAGTAAATTACAGAATGTTATTTTTCTACTGACATTTCTATAGCAACATCACAAATGATGAGCTTAGCTTTAAAAGTTTTAATCACATCCATTCCTGAAGAAATGTTTGAGAGTAATATCAATCACTCAGCCTAAGACATTGGTCAATTAAAGTGTGATATTTTCATTAATAATGAAGGTGAGAGACTCTTTTATTTTAATGAAAAATATTTACCCAAAACACTCTATGATAATATTACATCATTGCCCTGGGTCTTCGGAGAGGGGCAGCATATAAATTGAATATATATATATATATATATATACACACACACACACACACACACACACACACATTACTTTTTTTCTATTAAAGATAAGAGTTTTTAACCCATGTATCTGCATGGATCAATACACTCCTAACTCACTGGGATTATATTACTATCCTAAAATTTTATTCAGTTTATTTTGTCCCAATATACCATAACATTGGCCTTTTAGAGGGGACTTTGGAGGTGGGAGTTGTCTGATTACAAGAGTTCACAATAGGACACATGGAAGAGGAGGGAATCTCCAATAATTTTGGTGAAAAAGAAGACTCTAGCTTAATGTGAAAATGGGCCAAAACTCCCAGTATGACTACAGTCTGTGATATTATTAAGCTATACAGGCTTCTATATACACCCCAAGTCTACCTTCAATTAAATCTAAAAAATATATTGGCTTTAGAGAAACTGAGTATGTTCTTCACTTCTGACTAATCCATCAGTCTTAAAGTATTTCCTGTATTTATAACTAATAAAAAATCCATAAACATTAGGTTTCTAATCATATAGAGCCTTCGTTTTTAAAAATAATTTTTTATTACTGTCGATGGTCTAATATTACTATGTTGGAACGTTCTTTTAATCTGCATGATTTTAATAGTGCTGTATAAATTTAGTAAACAAAAAAAGTATATAGATAACAAACACACTTCAAAGAAGCCTCATTGCTTTTCTACTGTTGCTCCCTCTTGCTTTCATTACCTCTGATCAAGATCTGTCACTAAGAACGAGGAGAAAGACTAAAAGGCAGCCAACAAATAGAACAGGTGAAGAAGAGGGACCAGTTGGATTAGCAGCAAGTATCATAGCAGCCTCTTGTGGCACACATAGAGAAATGCATTTCAAGACTAGTTATTAATCTAATAGAGAGATTAGTGTTTTTTAATCCAATAAATAGATAAGTGTTGTATTTCATTCAGGTTTTGTAGAAAGACATAAAAAGAATTAATTTAGTTTATGTTGACTGATATATATTGAAAAATAGCATGATTTGTTTCTTTTCAACTTGGTTAATGTATATAGGTCCAAAATTCACAGAGGGATGAATAATAATTTTGCTAGTTAAAACAATGTTTCAATCTATTCTGTGTTGAAATGCTAGAAATGGCATCCACGCTTATTATTTAGCATAAAGAAGCAGTTATAATGTTTGATTATGGAAATGGACATCTTCGATAGGACATAAAAGATGCAATTTGTTAGTGTCCTTTTGTTTCATACATTCCGATGTATTAGGGATTTCACAATTTTCTACCTTAATGAATTCATCCCTAGATTAAAAAGTGAGCTATAAAGGTTATCAAGGCAACAATTCAATCCACAATTAGAAACATGCATCACTACCATGAAAAGATCGAATTCCTCTTCATTTCGTGCAATCATCTGATTCAGAGTCTCATCATCAGGAACTTCATCTTCTTCCTAAAGATGGAAACAAAAATGTTTACAATTTTGTTTTCTTTCATTCATTCATTCATTCATTCATTCATTCATTCATTCAATCAATCATGTCTGATTATCAAGAGACTGACTGGAAAAGTCTGTGCAGTTTTCTTGACATCCTGTGGGAGAGATTTGGGGAAACAAGCTTCCGGGATGCTCCTTCCTGGCAGCCCTGGGCGACCAGATTAGAAGCCCCAGTGACTTGGCAGGGAGGGGGACTGCCCAGGAGTACAGACACTCATTTTCATTTGGCTAGCCCAAAATTGCGCATAGCCAAATGTCGGCCCCGGCCATCTGAACAACTCGCAAAGACGCCTACCACCACGTTGCTGGGGGATGCCCTAATGGGGGTAGACCAGGAGGTCCCTAGTAGGCAGGGTCTAGTAGTTACTGGTTACGATGGTGTCCGGAAACAGGAGGATTCAAGTAGAGGGGATGGGAGGGATACACAGAAATTGCGCCAGAACCATGCTGTGAACTGAACCCCCCTATCTGAGATGATTCGTCGTGGGACACCATGCAGGCGATACACGTGTTGGATGAACATCTTTGAGAGTTTCCTAGCTGATGGCAACCCGTTACACGGGACAAAATGAGCCTGCTTTGAAAAGAGGTCGATTATGGTCCAGATTACGGTATGTCCATTGCGTTCAGGGAGGTCCACCACCATAGCGATCTCCTCCCAAGGTTCCTTAGGATTAGCCACTGACTGCAAGAGGCCCAAGGGCCGCCCAGACCATGGTTTAGACATCGCACACATTGAGCATTCCTTCACATATTGTTTGATGCCCTTATGCATTTGTGGCCACCAAAACTGGCGTCTAGTCAAATGTAACGTTTTGAGGAAACTGAAATGACCGGCCAGCTTTGAGTCATAACACCGCCGTAACACTGACTGGCGTAATGCCGCTGGCACATAGATTCAAGACCCCATCCATGCGATTCCATTTTGGTGCATTAAGATTGACTTATGTGTGTTAAACCAAGGGTCCTTGCCTGTTTCGTGACGTAGGTCCGTTTGCCATAAGTGTTCCTTCGTATGTAGGCAGTCTTTGCCTGGGTCCTTAAGTATCATAGCTTGGACAACCTCCTCTCTCTTGCTATGAAACTGAGGCATTTGCGATAAGGTGTCCGCTAGGAAGTTCTTTCCTCCAGGCACATATTTCAGGTCGAAGTTGAATCGCTGGAAATATTGTGCCCAACGTACCTGTTTTGGGGATAATTTCCTTGGAGTTTGGAGGGCCTGCAGGTTTTTATGATTGGTCCTTACTTCAAATTTGCTACCAATCCCTTCTAAAAGGTGTCGCCAGGTCAGTAACGCCCACCGGACCGCGAAGACCTCTTTCTCCCAAATCGCCCATCCTCTCTGTCGATGTTAAGGATACAACAAGGCACAAGGATACAACACCTCATCCTTCGCTTTCTGCAGCAGCACAGCACCCACAGCAACATCGCTGGCATCTGCTTGTACGATGAACATGAGGTTCGGGTCGGGGTGTTTCAGAACCGGCTCCCGAGAGAACAGAGCTTTCAAATGTTCGAATGCTTGTTGACATTCAATCGTCCACCTCAGAGCTTGGCCGGGTCTCGCCCTTACTCCAGTATGTTTGGTGCGTAAGAGGTCTGTTAGAAGCAAGGCTACCTGTGCAAACGCTGGAATAAACTGCCTGTAAAAGCTGGCAAAGCCAAGGAAACTCTGTAGTTGCTTCCTTGTTGTGGGTGCTTGCCACTCCAGGACTGTTTTCACTTTATTCGGATCCATCTCCACCCTGACCCCCAAAATGCGATATCCTACATAGTCCAATTGTGTATGATGGAATTCACATTTCGACAAGTTAACGAAGAAGTGTGCAGTCAACAGTTTGCTAGCACTTGGCGTACCAACTGCACATGTTCTTCCATTGTTTTAGTGTATATCAAGATATCATCTAGATATACCAGCACTCCTCGATAGAGATGCTCATGCAACACTTCGTTAATGACCTGCATGAACACGGCCGGGGCGCCCTGTAGTCCAAACGGCACCACCCTGAACTTATAACTACCCAACGGGCAGTTAAAGGTGGTTTTCCATTCATCGCCTTGTTTTATGCGTACCCAGTAGTAGGCTTCACGCAGGTCGAGTTTTGTGGATACCCTTCCGGTGGACAACACTGCCAGGAGGTCTTTGATTAAAGGTAGGGGGTATAGGTATTCTACACACACCACATTCAAACCTCGGAAATCCACACAGAGACGTAGCCCCCCGTCTTTCTTTTTTCTGAATAGCACAGGCGCAGCCATCCGTGACCTGCTGGATTCAATAAAACCTCTTGCCAGATTTTTATCGATATACCGTCGAAGTTCCTCCATCTCGGGTTGTGTCATGGTGTACATTCAGGGTTTTGGTAGTTTGGCCCCTGGGACCAGTTCAATCGCGCAATCTGTTGTTCTATGGGGGGGGCAATACCTCACTCTCCTCTTCGTTAAATACCGTGCTTAACTCCCTATACACATCAGGGAACCCCCCGAGCCCTTCCCCCTGCCCTCCGGCTCGCTCAGTCTGTTCCTCTGGTTCTGGCTCTGGGCCTATGAGAAGCCGTAATTTTCGATACCCCCCTTCCCACCATATGTGGGGTTTCCATTTGTCCAGCCACGCCAACCCCAGGATAAGGGGCTCGACCATCCAGTCTACTATAACAAACCGTAGGGTTTCTTTATGCTCCCCTATCCGTAATTCCACAAGTTCGGTGATGAGTTTGGACGGGGGCCCCCCCAGCACAGAGCCGTCCATTTGTTCGAATCTTATTGGAGTTTTCAATTGTACTGTACGTAATCCCAGGTCATCCACTATTGCTCTGCTCATTAAACACCGGGTGCAACCGGAATCTATCAATGGCCCCTGGTGACTCGCCTGGGACATTCGTGGGTTCCGCACAACGACTGGTATGACAAATGGGTGTACCGGTGCACTTACCATGGGGTCATTTGGGTCGCTTTCTTCATCATCATTCGTGGTTATGGGCCCTCCTTCCGGTACGATGGGACTCTTCACCTCCTGTGGAGTAGGATGTGGGCTGCCACGTGGGGTTTGAGCGGCTAAGCGGGATTGGTCTGCGCTTAAACGAGCTCGGCCCCTCGGTGTGCGGCCCGTTGCTGTCGGCTGTGCCTTGGCCTGGACGGGAGGTAAAGGGCAATCAAGGGCTCGATGACCTGGTTGGTCGCACCGGAAACAGCGGAATGCACCTCTGCCTGCTGTTTCTGGAGGGTGAGTGGGAAAAGAGGTGTTCCATCCAGGACCCCTAACAGTGGGTGGATTCTCCACCTGACGTCGTTGCGGTGCAGTGTCTCCCTCCCGGGGTTTGAACTCCCGCAATCCCACATCCAGGTCTACAGCTGCTTTAAACCACTCTGTTAGACAGGGTGGCAAGCCTCTATAAACACAGGCTTGTCTAATCTCCTTATCCAACCCCAGTCGAAAATGATGCACTAACAGACGTTCCGGCCAGGCCCGGAGCCGTCCTGCAAGGGCCTGAAACTCTTTTATATACTCTCGGACGGATCGTCCTTTTTGTTTTAGCGACACTAACTCCCCCTCCACCACTTGGGTATGGGTGTCATCTTCAAATCGGCTTCTTAACGCTTCCAAAAACAGACCAATGTCTACTAGCTCCCTCGCGTGATCGCTATGGAGGTCTGCAACCCAGTCGACAGCCTCCCCCGCGTCAACACATTAGTTATCGCAACCACCATGGACCATTGGGAGGGATATAGGCATCCATAGAGGTCTAAATAACTAAGCACCTGGCTCAAAAAAAGGGATACCCGATCAGCACTACCAACAAACGTGGTCTGTATCGGAGGGGGCCCCCAAACCTGTTGCTGAGGCCAATGTCCTGACACCCATATAGGGGATGGTCCAGGTGGTGGCCGGGCTTCCTGTGTATCCCTCCCGTCCCCTCTACGTGAACCCTCCTGTTTCTGGGAACCATCGTAACCGGTAACTACTAGACCCTCCCTACTAGGGACCTCCTGGTCTACCCCCCTTAGGGCATCCCCCAGCGACGTGGTGGTAGGCGTAGTTGTGAGTCGTTCAGATGGCCGGGGCCGACTTTTGGCTATGAGCAATTTCGGGCTAGCCAAATGAAAACGAGTGTCCGTATTCCTGGGCAGCCCCCCTCCCTGCCAGGTCGCTGGGGCTTCTAATCCGGTCGCCCAGGACTGCCAGGAAGGAGCATCCCGGAAGCTTGCTTCCCCAAATCTCTCCCGCAGGATGTCAAGCGTTGTGGACCCTAGGCCAGTGGAGTAACTCCACTCCCCGTCGTCCTCTTCTATCCAGCGTCGCTCCCACCAACCTTGAAAAGTGGCATCCAAGGTTTGCAGAAGTGGTTTGCTATTGTCTCCTTTCTATGTTTGAGAGAAAGTGGCTGGCCCAAGGTCATCTAGCTGGTTTTGTGCCTAAGACAGGACTAGAAATCACAATCTCCCACTTTCTAGTCCGATGCGTTAACCATTACACCAAACTGGCTGTGATGACCTGGAGCATGGCACAGAGATAACACAGCTGGCAATCCAAACTGCCCCTTTATTGCTGCAAATTTCCCCACGTTTCTGGCAAATCCCAGATCAAAGTGATGACAAACTCCCACACACACCTCAAGCAGCCTCTGGCTGCAAATAGTCCAGCCCAGTGCTGTATACACCATGGCTGCACAGCAATAAAAGCAGCAGGGCAAATCAAGGAATTCAGAAGCAAAGGATCCAGGTAATTAGTCCAGAAAGCCAGAAAGAATGCAAGCACTCTTGGAAAGTTCAAACGTCGGCACTCAACATTATAGGAATTCAGAGTTTTCACGACAAATGCCCTTCCCCAGTGTCTCCTTCAGTCTCATTCTCCACGTGTGCCTTGTGAAGAGGGGCGGGGCACTCTTCTCCCGAGTAGTCTGTGCTGTTCTCGCCTTCTCTCCGATCAGGAGGGGGTGGTCCTTGCTCCCTGCCTGAGCTCTGTCTCTCATGTTCCCTGCTTAGCCTCTTTTGGCCATCCTGCCTGTTCCTCCCTGCCTACAAACTGTCCTAATTCTGAAAGGCCCTGGCCTGACTGGCCCTGCCCTTCCCCATTTTCCTCCAAAGCCAATGAAGCCACCCCCTCAACCTCTGTCGGCTCCAGTTCCAGCTCATCTTCCCCCACAGATTCAGGCTCCGACAGGGGCATGACACTGGTCCTCTACTATAAAAAACCACTAGAGAGTCTATTAGAGAATATAAGCATGTGCCTATACGGGTAGTCCTCAGGTTACAATGGCAATTGGGATTGGGATTGCTCTCGCTAAGTGATATACAGGTAGTCCTCGACTAATGACCAGAATTGGGCTCAAAACTTTTGTTGCTAAGTAAAACAGTTCTTAAGTGAATTTTGCCCCATTGTACAACCTTTCCTGCCACAGTGGTTAAGTGAATCACTGCTGTTGCTAAATTAGTAATACGGTTAAGTGAATCTGGCTTCCCCATTGACTTTCCTTGTCAGTTGGTCGCAAAAGGGGATCACGTGACCCAGGGACACTGCAACCATCATAAATATGAGTTGTCAAGTGTCTGAATTTTGATCAAATGACCACGGGGATGCTGCAATGGCCGTAAGTGTGAAAAATGGTCATAAGTCACTTTTTTTCCAGTGCTGTTGTAACTTCAGTGTCACTAAATGAACTGTTGTAAGTCAAGGACTACCTGTAGACATATAGGGCAATGTCATGGGATTGCTGGGGTAACTCCAAAATACATGAGTCAATAAGTGAGTAGTAGCCAGAGAACCACCTAAGGAGCATGGGGATGTTGCAGGGAGGCCCTAGGAGACAGAGACTGTGCACAGGCTGGAGTCTGAAGGAGCGGCTGCATATGAGTGCAGGAAGGAGGGCACAGTTAAGTGTGACCCCAGGGAGGCTGAGGGAAGGAGGCCATGGTGAGAAGAAGGCCATGGTGAGAAGGAAGCCGTGGTGGTGGTGGGACTTACCAGACTTGCAACTTCCCTGCTGCCTTCTCCACTGAGTTGTGATAAGCCAGCAGGGAGGGTTGCAAATGTCAATCATTTGACTATGGGATGCTGCAATCATTCTAAGTGGGAGCTGGTTGCCAAATTGCAGTCATGTGACCGCAGGTGTGCCTGGATGGCCAGAACTTCAAGGACCCATCATAAGTACCATTCATTCAGCATCGTTGCAACTTTGAATGGTCACTGAACAAGTGTTAAGCGAGGGTTACTTGCTTGTTTTACATCACAAATGGCCAACATTTTAAGGGTTTGATACAGCCTCGATTCAATCAAGTCTTTTGACTTCATTTTTATTTACAGCTACAAAACAACTGTTGTAACAAGAATACTCAACTCATAGCTATAATAAACCTCATCACCTTTAACCAGTGAGTCTCTTGAGAAATGACATATCTATGTTCCAAACATGTGCCATTTTCATAATCCATTAATTAGATTTCACACATCTCTTTCTGCAGTTTCTGTCAATGGTTAGAGCTATCAAACCTGGATTGCAAAAATATATGTGGCCACCAGAGGGTGCCACATAACATCATAAAGTTTAATATTTTGCTGCCTTCTAGGGGTCATCCAGATTCTTGCAGCATGGTTATTTCAAATCTGGTGCTGGTAGTCTGCTTTGCTGGGATGGCCCCACCTCTTCGTTCTGATTGGTAGGGAGTCCCAGTCTGTGTCTATTGGCTTGGCTTTGGGTGTATGGTCGGTTTTTCTCCACCAGGTGGCAGGGCTTCATCTTTGTGGCTGGCTGGAATGTGATTTGGCTGGAGGTCTCGGTGTGTGTGTGTCTGGCTTCTGGGGTGTAGATCTTTCTGTCTGTGGGTGCTGGGACTCGTTTGTTGACAAGGGCCAGTTTCCAGATGTCTGGTAGGCGGGAGGTATCGTCACGTTTATTCATGTTATGGGGGCATTTTTCTATTTCAATGGCTTCCATAATTATTCTCTTGTTGAGGTGTTCAGTTTTGGAGATTAATTTGGTTCCTTCAAAATCAATTTCATGTCCTGTTGCTTTAAGGTGCTGGAAAAGGGAGGAAGTTTTTTCTTCTTTTCTGACTGCATTCTTGTGTTCTGCAATGCGTGCATTTATTCTATTAGTTTGTCCAATGTATGTGGCCACTCCCAACCAATCAGAACGAAGAGGTGGGGCCATCCCAGCAAAGCAGACTACCAGCACCAGATTTGAAATAGTAACGGCAGTTGCTGCAGAAGACCCCTTGCATGATGGCAGATGAGATTCTGCCGAAACGTTGCCAAAGTGCTCTCAATCTTACATGGGAGAAGACCCGAATACATCAAGACTTGCATACCTGTACCCGTGAAAATCTACGAAAATCCTTTAAATCATAGATCTTTCTGAACAGCAATATTAACAACAGATGTTCTTTTATCACCATTTTGTATGCTCTAGGGAAGCTCAATTTCTCTCCCAAGAAGGAAGATCCCACACCAAGGACACATAGAAGGATGATATATAGCATGAGACAGAACATACAGTCTAAGTTGTATCAGAACATATTGCAGAATACCGTTTATTTTATTTTAATACCCTGAATCCTTTTGATTAAAAACACTTAAAATTAGAAGACTCCATTTGATAATGCCTTCCGTTTAATCAGAAGACTTTTATTATTCAGTTTCTTAACCATGAAACCTTGCTATAAGGTTTTAAGGAGAATGAAAGGAACCTTGCAGAATGGCCTGCTCTCTTTTCCACAAGTTACAGTTCAACTTGTAGCTCTTACAATTGCTGAACAATTCCCAGCAGGCTTTGCCACGTTCTACAACTCTTTCTACAAGCTTGGATTAGTAGCACGGCTTAAGGGCAACTGCATCACTTGACAAGCCTCGGATTTCCTTCCACTCTGACAGTACCTAGCAGAACAACAGCCACTTCTGGGTTTATAGGGGTCTGGGGCTTCTGCCAATTCAGAGTCTACCCCTTCTGTTTCTGTTGGTAAAGCCTCACTTCTTTTCCACTTTTGGTGGAACTAATTGTGTTTCTTCAGCTCTGGCTAAGATTGATGGTCAGGGATGTTCCTGGGCATGATTCAATGTTCTCTTATGAACTAGAGCAAACTTGTGTCGTCACAGCATCGTCACGTGACATATTGTGACTCCCCCCTTCGCTAAACTGGGCGTGGCCAGCGCGTGACGCATCCAGCTTACAGGCCGCGAGTTTGACACCCCTGAACTAGAGCATGAATCAGGAACTAAGTGAATTAAGTGTAGAAATACTGGAATTGGGAAGAGTAAGAATGCAATGCACATCTATTTTTAACAGAGATTTTTGTATAGTACCTCATTTTCTTCTTCATGTTCCAATATGGCTTGGAGAAAAGCTCTTCGTTCATGGCTTGAAGATTTTTGGTCAAACATGCCAGCCTGAATAACCTTCTGATCCACATTCAGTTTATATTTTGCGGCTGCCAAGATTTTCTCCTCGACACTGTTCACTGTGCACAATCGTAAGACTCGAACTTCGTTCTGCTGCCCAATTCGATGAGCTCTGTCTTGTGCTTGCAAATCCTGTAGAAAATACGTTTGGTACACTTCTAATATTGGAATAATTGGGCAAAGCAAAACAACAGCATCAACATTTTACATTCAGAAAAGCACTACAGACTATAATCAATATTCCTAAATCTAGACCTTCTTATACATTAAGCTCTTTAAAGTTCCAATTAATGAATTCCTGGATCCATAATACAATGATTTAAAGGAAGATGAGTGTCTTATTATACCAACATCTCCCAACTGCCAGCATAAATCACACAATCAGATTGTGTTACTTGAATGTTATTCTATCATAACTGGTTTGCACTTGTTCTTCAATTTTAATTTTAATTAATTTATGGTTAATATATCAGATTGATGACTGATGTATTTTAGAGCTCATCTATGTTATATTATTAACCTCAAGAAAAGATACCTCAACTATTAGTATTTTAAAAAATCTTTCTCTGGAGTTTGGCTGTAATACTCAACTATCAGCACCAGAATATAGTTTGCCAAGGGGGCATCCTAATCCATGGTCATTGTATAAGAACTTAAAATATAATTTTCTCAGATCCTGAATTTGGAGCTCTCCTTCATAAATGTCTATGGAAATTCTCAGTCATTCAGGCCATGGTTGTCGCAAAGGTGCTTTTTCAAGAGGCAACTGGACTTTCTGGTTTTTCTTTGAAGATGTTTCGCTTCTCATCCAAGCTTTTTCATTTCTTCAGCTGAAGAAGCTTCTTGGATGAGAAGCGAAACATCTTCGAAGAAAAACCAGAAAGTCCAGTTGCCTCTTGAAAAAACACCTGTGGGACCTCTTCTTCATAACTTCAATTTCCTTGCTATCAGAATGTTCTGCTTTCCCACCGGTTTGAGAAAATTTGATGTTGAGTATATCATTAATAAAAATGTAAGCATTTAGCTCATTCTTTCTCACTAATTTTAATCCATTACATATATGCCTGTTCATATAGCATTCCACAATAGTTTATATTAATATCATAATTTGCATAGCACTTTTAGGGATTTCAGTAAAAACTATTTTTTCTGTAAACAAAATAAATAAACAGTAAAAATTAATATTTTTCAATAAGCATTTTAAAACCAAAAATCTATGACAACTTTGATGGCCTAGCAGACTATTTAGAACAATAGTAATAATCAGCTTGCTTTCCTTTGAATACTTCTTTCATCTCTGATTTTGAGGAAAAGCCAAAGATGAAGCAATATGACATTTTATGTGATCAGGCGGAGATATGAAGCTTTTTATTGGCTAAATTATGGGTACTTAATCTCAAATTGGCTTCATATTTATAAAAATAGGATTAAAATTTATAAAATTCATCTCTAACAAATGGTATTAGTGACAGTCCTTGACTTATGACAGCAACTAGGAAAGGATTTTCCCTCACTAAGCGATGCAATTGTAAAACATGACTGCATTGCTTAGTGACATCAATGCCTGCAGTCTCAGTTATCCTAAGTGGTGGGAACCATAGCAAATTTTATTTCACAACCCGCAGCCAAATTGATAGTGGTTGGAAAAGAAAACAAAGAGGATGAATCCAGAAAAACTTAGTTTGATGGGAAATGCCTCAGCATCTTTGATGTATTCTAACACATTACTATTCACAGAAAGCTTTGTTTTATTACTAGTGATTTAAAACAACACAGAACAATGTATCATAAATTACCTGGTGAGGATTCCAATCACTGTCAAAAATTATAACAGTATCAGCTGCCTGAAGGTTCAAACCCAGACCTCCTGCTCTTGTGCTCAGCAGAAAAATAAAGTATTGGGAATTGGGCTCATTGAATTTCTTCAGCAGAGTTGCTCGATCTTCTGACTTTGTTGTTCCTAAAAAAAACAAAAACACCATTGTAAATAAAAAAGAATTCAGGAATTCCTAGCCTGCAGATATCTGCTTATTATCCAGACTTTCAAACATCTGCAATATTGATCCCAGGATTTAGTTATACTGGGGACTCATCCCTTTTATCTGCAATACAGAATGAATTTGGAGGCAAGAATATATGTTTTTTTAATGTACTAACCCAGGGCTGCCAAATTCGCGGCCTGCAGGCAGGATGCATCACGGGCTGGCCATGCCCACATCTGGTTTAGCAAAGGGGGAAAAAGTCCCAAAACATCACATGACACCACCGTAATGACGCGGATTTGACAGCCCTGTACTAACCAATAGTTCTCTTCTTATGCTTTGCTTGGATAAAGCTTCAGGAAGAACTATTTTTAAGATTGTTGGCATCTTAATTGAAGAATTACAATTGTTCTTGGTGAAGAAGCTGACTCTAATGAATTTGTTAAGTAATTACATGAAGATAAAATCAGCAAAGTTCATTTCTAAGCCATCATATTTGAGAGCTAGTCTGAAGTAGTGGTTAAAATGTTGGTCTGGGGGTGAGGAGTGCCATGGTCCAGTCTACTTTCAGCCTTAAAAACTTTGGTGACTTTGGACCAATCACTTTTTCACTCTAACCTATTTTACAGTATTCTTTAGAGGAAAAGGAGGAGGAGGAGAGAGCAGTATGGATGGTGCTTCAAGTTCATGAATGAAAGACTGGACATTAAAAACATTTGCTACTGCTGATTCTGGAATTATTTTAACAGATTAACAGAGTTGGAAGGGATCTTGTAGGTCATCTAGTCCAACCCCCCCACCCAGGCAGGAGATCCTACACCATTTCTAACAGATGGCAGTCCGTTCTCTTCTTGAAAGCTTCCAGTGATGAAGCTCCAACAACTTCTGAAGACAAGCTGTTCCATTGGTTGATTGTTCTATGTAATATTTATTTATTGATTATTGATAATACCTCCCAATAACAAGTTCTCAAAAGTGGCTTACTTATTTACGTAATAACTTTCAGCCATTTGTATGTTACCTTTGCTTATTGTTTGAGAAACAACATTAAAGTGAATTACAATATTTTTATGGTTGTTCGCATAGTAAGCAGAGGCAAGTTACTCAGATGTTCTGCTCATAAGAAAGTGGAACATCTATTTGAAACAAATCCAGGTGATTTCAAATAAATTTTATTATTTACACAAGTTCTGATTGTCCTGAAAAATAACCACACTGCAGGAACAGCTGTTCCCCTTCCCCACAAATGGCTATAATCAGGAGTGACTCAGACGGGTCAGGTAATGTTGGGCTAGGACGGGGTCAGCCACCTGCGGCTCTGGAGCCGTATGTGGCTCTTTCACCCCTCTGCCGCGGCTCCCTGTCACTCAAAATATGTGTCACAACTGCCAATGTGTGACACCTGCCGGCACGTGATTAATTGAGCTTTTCAACCTCCAGTAGGCCAACCATAGATAAATCCAAGAAAAGAAAAGTTTCAGAAGAAAACAGAATGTTTAATTCAACTATACAGTACATATGCTAGTTTTGTGGTTGCTCAAGAAATAGTCAGGCACGGGAAGGGTTTTGTGGCTCCTGGTGTTTTCTTTTCTGTGGAAAACGGGTCCAAATGACTCTTTGAGTGTTTAAGGTTGCAGACCCCTGGGCTAGGAGGACAAGATTGCTTTTGCAGTTCACATCTTTCCTCAAAGAGCTGACTTGATAGAATCCTCCTATTCAATAATCCCGCTACCTCCAATGTCAGCGGCAGTTTGTCTAACTCCCTTTTAGGGAAGAGTTAATTTTCATTTTTCTAAGAGTTTTGTTTTGCTAAACATGCTTCTCAGAAATATGTTTTTTTCTTGAAAAAAACTTCACTTTCAGCCAGTGACTAAATAGAGGGAGAGTATTTAATTGAAATTTTATCTTTATACATATTCATATAATTATAACCCCCCCAAAAATCTCTTCTGCCATGGAAGATCTGTAGAGACATACTATACTTTGTGCAATTAACTTTAAACCTTTTAATAAACTTCTCCCCTCAATCCTTTATTTAGTTAAGAATATCACCTCCTATGATGGAAGTAAGGGTTAATCAATGTTAATGACGAAGAAGAATCCAAACTGAAACAGAAATATCAAGGATATTTTAACTTGACAATACAGTCATTTAGAGAACTGGAGAAATAAATGTAAACACTTCAGCGAAATTCCTAGATTTCTGCCATATTATTATTTTGAAAAACAGCCTTAAAATAATGAATGAATGAAAGGAACATGATATTTGAAGCATTTGTGACCTTTGTCTTGATTGTAAGATCCCTGTAAAGTATCTCAACATCGTTTATAGGAAGCTAACAAGTTGAAACACCATTTCAGAAGCTGACAGTATTGTCTGTTTTACCATAATAATAGGGTATCAGAAAATAAAGAATGTTCCCAATCACTGAATGACAATGGCAATTAAAGTCAAGAATTTTAGACATGGCTTTCCCAGCCAAAATTTAGAGCCTTTGTTACAATAATACAAAATAGACCTTAGTTTATTAACAGCATGTTAATTAGTGAGAGGCATTCCTATTGTAATCTTTAAATGAACTCTAGATTCAAAATGGACATTACCATCAAGTCGCAAGTAAGCAAAGTTTCGAAAGGCAAAGTAATCTTCCATAATAGTCATAAGGGATGTCATTTGACAGAAAAGAAGCACACGATGATTAGTGGCTCGCAACTTTGGTAGAATTCGATCAAGTAGCTCAAACTTTCCAGAAGCCCGATAAAGCTCAGCTCTGAGACAAAAAGCAAAAACAAAAAATCACACAAGAATTACTTTTATTAATCCAGAAAAAGCAAAAGCAAACAGACTAAATATGGTCCAGGAGGGAGGGAGGGAGGGAGGGAGGGAGGGAGGGAGGGAGGAAGGAAGGAAGGAAGGAAGGAAGGAAGGAAGGAAGGAAGGAAGGACTAGTTTTAGAAGGAAAGATACCTTATGTCTGGAAATAATCTTTAATATATAGTTTTTATTAACAAAATGTTTAACAAAATAAACCCATAGGGCAAAATAAATAGAATAAAGAAAAATAGTGAATGACGAGAAAAGAAGATAGTAAAGTAACATAAAGTAAAATAAAGATTATAAAGAAGCACCCTTCAATCTCCTTGACAGCAATTATAAATGCATTTATATTTTAACCTCTCTCTCTTCTCAGGTTGCATCAAAATTTTATTCTTTCCCTAAGCTACCCTTTCCAATCTTCAAATCCATAAATCACATTTGTCTGAAAGTTTTTTTCACCTAGCTGGTTTGGGGGGCTTCTAACAGAGTAAAACTTCAGAATTCCAATATTGAAATACTTCAGTATTCAGTACAAATAGAAGGAATGGAAATTTATATTTTATTTGTTATCCGCAGATTTTCTAAGTGTTCAAAAGACTGTTTCTTCAACACCTTCAACTATTACCTTTTGGTAGTTTGGATTTTTCTGAGGACATATTTGACCCTCTATTTTCATGCTTTACACACAATATATTATTTCTTATTCTTCTAAAATTTGTAGACATAAAAAAAGGCCATTTTCTTTGTATAATTTGAGTGTGACCTGACAAACTAATTTAAGTTTATACTTTGCAGTTAATCTCATTTTACCGAAGTGATATATTTCTGAGTAAACATATCTATAATTAACTGAAGGAATCCTGCTGTGAATCTGGATAGGTCAGCAGAAGTAACCCTTCTGAAAATATTTCATAGCGCTATCTAGCATGTGGGAGAGGGCTTTTCCTATGTGACCCCTAGACTATGGAATGTACTCCTCAGGGTGTAGGTTTGTCTCCCTAAATGTCTCACAATTTAGGAAATCCATCTCTTCCAGCCTTGAAATGTGAATTGAGTAGCATTTTGATTTTTTGATTCAAATTTTAAGTTTCTTTTGATTTTAATTGTATTATTTTATTTTTATGTTTTTTTAGTTTGTATTGTTAATTGCTGTAAACAATTTTGGATGTTTAAAGTCAGAAACAGTCGATCAGTGCCTTAAAGTTTTCTTTACTTTCAGGGAAAAATATGAAACATATGTCTCCACTGGAAAATAAAGGAATATAATAGGGATCTAATGTGCAGTCATGCAAAATTGGAATTTTCCTCCACTTAACTGATAGATCATACAGTATCTCCAAAAGAGATACTTCCTTGCTATTACTATTGCTTCTAAATATTTAATTGGCTAAGAGTTCTAATAACTTGTTTCCCCTTAAGCTGGTTCGCATTTTACTTTTGTCTTATAACATAACTTTTTCTAATATATATGATTCTTTTGGTATTTTGATCTCTAATTATAACATCAATAAATAATGCCAATAACCCTGGGATTTATTTGGCAGTTAACAGTACAGTTTATTAATTTTATTTACTTTTTTCATTTATTTATTTAAAGATTTATATTGCTGCCCATCTTAAACAACTCTGGGCGATTCAATTTCTTTTATCAATATAATATTAATTTGGTGCTTTAGAAGTGTTTGCCTACATCATGTCTTATTCTAATTTTTTATGTCAACTTATTTTCTGAATGGTTTATGTTTTAATTTGAAATAACCCCATTTATTAATACATCGGTCACAAATAAATGAAAAAAATTACCCATTGATAACACCACTGGAATAACCCAAATGTTCAGCAAAGGATTCCTGCAAAATGATAACAATGAATTATTTAGCTTTTCCATATTAAAAGTTCCCTAAAATCCATCAGAAGAAATGCTTTACAATGCATAGGACCATGTTAAAACATCTCTTCTAATAATTGAAACATCCACATCCTGTTCTAGGCTTCCACTTCGATACCCAACAAAAAACATGGACAGTAAATCAAAGGGAAGTACACAAACACACAGGGACAATGGGAATCAACTTACAAAGCAGCAACATCAGCTGCAAAAAAAAAACCCGGCTTCTGAACTGAACTGAACAGAGTACTTAACTGGACATAACTGGACGTGTATTTGTTTGACTATGCATTTATTTATAACTTCTATTTCCGTGGCTGCCAACTACTCTAATGATTTGTACTAATACAACTTTAAGCTACAATTGCTGGGTTGTTGCAAGTGAATGCAAGGGGACATGCACTTCTGCTCTTTTTTGGTTAGATGTCAAGTTGTGTATGATAACTGAACCTTGATTTTCAGTTCCTTACTCCCAAATGAGTCAAGGTTTAAAACTGGAATAAATCAAAACATATTGAATTACCACATCCTAGCTTTCAGGGAAGCAAGAAGGAAACCAGAAGTCCCATTTGCAATTACTAGTTCATTATATACCTCTGTGCAAAGCAGGAAGAAACAGCAGCTCACCAACAGTAAATTAGGATAAGCCAGCAATTTTTGCTCAGTGGAATTTGCACAATGGGGGTATTTTCATATTCATGTGATTAAAAAAAGGTGTAAAATATTTCATGTCAGTCAGGATGACGAAAGCCCCTTGACTATATGAAAAAGTCAGTCATTTGATGATAGGCAGGGAATTTAATTAGTCATCATCAAAAACAAAGTTTCTCATGTCAAGTAATTGTTCAGAAATTCCAACATTTAGTTGATCTATACTGAAACTGTTTTCACTGAAAGAATAGAAAAATTATACTTTAAGTGTGAACAGCAACTGTGTAGAATGAAATGATAAGATTAATTTACCTCAATATGTTGGAACATATATGGGTGATTGCATATTTTCCTCAGCTGCATGATGGTATTCATGAGTGTTTTGGCTCCACCTTTTCCCTGAGGAAGTGACACAAAGGCAGTTATGAATTAATAAAATCTGAAAAAACATTGTTCGCTTAATATATGGTATATTTACCATATTACCATATTCACAGTATAGTATATGCTTGTTCTAATATGTTATCTAGAGCCTTTGAAAGAGGTGCTTTGTAACAAAAAAAATTAGTAAAAGAACACTCAACATAACTCTGTGATATTCCCAAATTGGTGAAGTTTACAGATGCTGTATTTGTGACAGCTGCTGCCAGCTGAAGGGACCATTTTATGAATCTTTTAAAGCAGCTGTGTCTTCTTCAAAATCTCATGGCTATTTTGGAATACATTCTAAAATGTATTTTTCAGACAATTACTTAGGCTTGATATTTTTTTATCCAAATTCTAAAGTATCTTTTGTAACTAGTCATCTATTCGTGTTAATTCACAGTGCTGGTTGCCCTCAGTTTAAAGCATTACAGATTCCCTCCATTTCTTTTTTAATCCACCATCTGTTTGCAACAATCTAGGTCTCATATATAATGAATTCTATTTTTTTTTTTTTTAGTAATGTTTGGTTTTTCCCTAGTTATACTCAAGAAGGCTCAAATCATTTATTCGTTAGAATTACTTTTTTTGTATAGGGGAGTTTAGTTCTAGAAAAGACAAGATGCCAGGAGTCTTCTCACCTTCTTGTCTTTCTCCGAGCCATCAGTAAGCAGGATTCCCTTGGCTTGCATGTGGCGATACAAAATCTTCTGCAGGGCTGACATATCACACTTTATCACATATTCAACCTTGTATAAAAACAGACAATAAATATTAAATAATGCAGCTTTTTCAAAACTTTTTAATAAATTTAAAAAGTTTTGAATTTTGACACCTCTGTATTAAAACATAGGTGTCAAAATCACATTGTCAAGGTGTCGTCATGTGACGTATTGCAACTTTTTTCCCTTTGCTAAACTGGGCATGGGTATGGCCAGAGTGTGACGCAACTGGCCTGCGGGTTTGACAGCCCTGTATTAAAATGTCTGCGCTTTTTAATATAAAAATCATATTTACATATAGATTTACAAAACAACCTATTCAAAGTTATAAATAAGAATGCTAGCAAAACTAGATTACACTGGTTCTCAACAACTGACTTCAGGAAAAAAATAATACAAAAAAGGTTAACTCTCTTGCTACGTCACAAATATATCGCCTGATCTATCCTATCAGTTTACTCTTACTTATTCCAAAAGTTAATTATTTTCTATATAATCAATGGAACAGTGATCGATGATCTTTGGAAGATTATTAATCCTTGAGATTATTATAATCAATAGTACTATGCTATATTCACATACACTGGATTTCAGCTAAAAGGGCAGCAGGAAAGTTTGCTAGAAAATGTGTAAGAATACACTAAAGACACATATATGCACACATAATGACATGGTAAATTGAACCAGTAAAGAACTCAAAAACAGTCCTCCTTTAATGACAGGAATTGGGACCAGGAATTCCATCACCAATGGCACGGCTGTAAAATATTTCCCATGTGATCCTTAGGAGTGACATCACATTGATTTTGCTGCAACTTTGAGGACCGGCTATAAATCTCCTCATTCAGCAGCTTCATAAATTCAAATGTGACTGAACAAATGGTTGTTAACTGAGGAACTACCTATATAGTTTTTAAATGGATGGATCTAGCTCTAAATTATTTACTATTTTACATTACTTATATTATTGATAGTTAGATAAAGGAAGATTCACAACCAAGCTCAACCTTCTGTAGTTTCAGGCAGAGTTGAATAAGTTCCAACAGAGGTATATTTTGCATTATATGGCACCTGGATTTATTACTACAAGTAATTCAACAGAGCTTCTTCTTCACAAACCTTTTCTGGTAACTGAGATTCAACCTCTTTCTTCAACCTTCTTAACAAGAAAGGTCTTAGCACTTTATGGAGACGCCTAATAATCAGAATAGTTTCCTCCTCATTTAAATCCACCTAAATGGAAAGATTAAAAAGAGAAAAAAAGCACTTTAAAAACAACACATACATATTTCATTATTTGCAAACAGTACTACAAAATCAACTGTAACCATTGCAACCAATTATACGTGGGACAAACATCACGTCAATTAAAAACCGGGATCCCCGAACACCAGCTGGCAATCAAACGACACGATCCCAAATCCTTAATCTCTACCCACACTGACAGCAAACAACACCAGTTCGATTGGAGCAACACAAAAATCATCAGCCACGCTACCACCCATCATACTCGTGAGTTCATCGAAGCCTGGCACTCCACAAGCAATTCCATCAACAGACGCATTGACCTACAACCAGTCTACGAACTCCTCAGAATCCAAATCAATTGCACAGCCAACCAGAGACAGCATCGACCCTCAACCAACCCATGCAAGCCCCCGCAAACAGCACTTCATCTCCCAATGAGCCTCACATAATGTAACTTCCCCATCACAAGACTCTCACTGATGACTCACAGCTGACTTATCGTAAAACCTATTACAAGACCCTCACTTGATACACTCACACTGAAGCCCTTATAAACAAAAGAACATTGACATTCCCTAAACTCTGCTGAAGATGTTACCTAGCCTGGTAATGCAACATTCAGAAACCAACCCACAAGCTCAGAGAATAAACCTTCACCCCCCCACCCTCATATTTCATTAATTTTTAATGCTAACAAACACTTTAAGCCTTTTTATATACTAATACAACTTAGTAGATTAAGAGTGCATTAATTAGAAAGTTCACTGTATTAATATACTATACCAGTTGCTATGAAACAGACTGTCCATTTAATATAATGTGTTACTATAGCATTTTTAAATAAATTGCCCAGTACCCTTTCTCCAGTCATGGCAAAAGGAGCATTGAACCATTGTTCAAAAGTGCTGCAACTCTTGAAAATTGTTGGGAGGAGAAAATTAAGGAGAGCCCAAAGTTCAGGTAATTTGTTCTGCAATGGCGTTCCAGTCAAGAGAATCCTTCTTGGTGCCACATAATGAGTATTTAGCACCTGAGTCAGCTTACAGTGATGGTTCTTCATTCGATGACCTTCATCTACAATCATATATTTCCACCGAATCTATGGAAATAAAGAAACAATTGGTAGGAAACTATATTGAGATTCCAACCTATGAAATCGTTACAATTAAATACAACTGAAGCCTTCAAAACTCTTATTTCATTTCAAAGTATGCAATAATTAGTACATATTTTGCACAATATTAACAAACCGCCACTAAAACTGGAGTGCATCAAGTATACCTCATAACGTACATCATAACGTCCACCTTCAAAGGGCATATTGGATTAATACAATCCTATATAATAGACAATAGTCAATAAAGTTTAGACTGAATTTGTATGATTTTATTTTATTCATTTATTCGTCCAACTCCAACTCTGAGTGGCTTCACAAAGTTAAAAGAACAAAAGCTCAATAAAAATGAGCAACATCCATAAAATGAAAACTCAAGGGAACAAGAATCTTAGTTACAGCTAGATAGGAGCCTATCCATCCATCCTAAACCAGGTTAACCCTTAAGGGTTAAATCCTTTAACTAAAGCCTAAGAGAAAAACAGAGTTTTTCTCTTAGGCAAAGAGTGCTCTGATACAAATTTGCAAGGGGGATGCTATTCCGTAGGGATATGTGCAGTAATAGAAACATATAATGAGAGAAAATAAAAATACTGGCTTCACATCCTTTAATTAAACATTTTTATATATGCACAAAATGTAGAGTAAGTTCATCACTGAAAGAAAATTCCAGAAGGTGAATTGATACAATTTAATGCATTCAACTATATAAAAAGTATCAACCCAGTAAATTTTAGTTCACAATATAGCCTCATACGACAGAGGGCTGAAACTTGATCCATTTATTCTTACTATCGCTTTGCAAGAGAAAAGGAACAATGTAAGGAAGTGAGAAACAGAGTCAATGAATGGATGAAACCATACCCTTAATATTTTATTGAGGAATCTTGAAAATCATTATCAGGAGCTTTATGTGTCCAATAACATACATATTTAATTCCAGACAACCTTTTTAGCCTTCCCTTCATGTGCACTAACATTCTCCACAGTAAATTCAACTGATTGAACTGGCAGGAAAAATCTTTTTTAAAACTGATTTGAGAGGATTGAGAGCCTCCCAATGTTCTCTCAATGCAAATGTAGGAAGAGAAGGAAGTGCAAAAAAGCGGATTACAGGTAGTCCTCGACTTATGGTCACAATTGAGCCCAAAATGTCTGTTGCTAAGTGAGACAGTTGTTAAGTGAATTTTGCTCCATTTTACAACTTTTCTTGCCAGACTTGTTAAGTGAATCACTGCAGTTGTTAGGTGAGTAACATGGTTATTAAATGAAGCTGGCTTCTCTATTGACTTTGCTTGTTAGAAGGTTGCAAAAGGCAATCACATGATCCTGGGACACTGTGACCGTCATAAATATGAACCACTTCCCAAGCATTTAAATTCTGATCATGTGACCATGAGGATTCTGCAATGGTCTTAAGTGTGAAAAACGGTCATAGGTCACTTTTTTCAGTGATGTCGTAACTTTTCACTAAATGATTTTTTGTAAGTTGAGAAATATCTGTATTTTGTGGGGTGCATTGATAGTCTATTTACAAAGTGCCTATATTGGGTCTCAGAAAGGGAAAAAAAATAGCTTGAAATTTTTGGAAGCTTACTAAAGCAAACACCTCTCATTAAAAAATGTACACATTCTGAAATGCAGCAAAGTGAATTGAAGAAAGATATAACAAATTACAATGGATTCCATTATTTAATTACCTTTACTTTAACAAAATAATTCTGGGAAGTACTGAAGTATTTTCCAAAGAAGGACTCCCATGTTTTAGTGTCTATTCAGTTACCGTGTCTTAATGCATAAATGAAATGAACGGTACAAATTTCAATCTGGTCTCTGTTATCTTTCCACATCTGGAAAATGTTAACAAAGCCTGATTCTCTTTTCCCCCCTTTCGCTGCATTCATCTCTGCTCAGAAACAAAGAACCGGAGAAGAGCTGCAGATAAAAATGGAATAGCAGGGTTCCCAGGTAAATGGGATTCAGCAGAGGGATGAGGAGGTGGCTATTCTGCTTGACAAAGAGCAACGGTGTGGAATTTATGGGATCCACAGGTAGCAAAATCTTTTCCCTCACCAGCAATCCTGAAAGGACTCAGCAGGAACAGAGACAGTGAATGGGATGGGAAAAGGCAAAAGCAATTCAGAAAAGCACAGAACTTTTAAAGACAATAGCAATTATGGATATTGTACCTGGACCCTTCAGGTTTGGTATAATTCTTGCTAACTGGGAGTGGAGGAAGCCAAAAAAGAAAAGAAAAGAAAAGCTAGCCATCAAGAAAAGTCCCAAATATAATAGTACCTTAGCAAGAATGTGTTTGTCCTTTATGATGTATTCATATGTAGTCAAAAGAACGTTAAATTTCCCACTACGTAGCTGAGGTACAAGCGATCGGCGCATAGCAGGTGTACCCTGGAAAAAAAAGGAAAAGAAAAAAAATTGCATCAAGATGTTGTTCACTAAAAAAGAATAGTTGTGAAGTGGATTAAAAAAAAGGGAAGCACAGCGTGCCTAATATATTATTAATATTTCCAGTCCATTCAAGAGAAAGCCATAGACAAAAAGAAACGTGGATTGAATCTTTACAAATGAATTCAATAGGTCTGCTGTAAGGAGGAAAAACTAAGTTCCTCCTGTCTTTCGTTGACAGAACCCCTCAATGAATCTTTTCATCAGCAAGTGATACCCCGTTGATAAACAGCAACTGGAAAAGTATTGCTCAGATAGCGGTCTCATGCTGCAGTCAATCTCATGCCTGTCTCTCCAGCCTGTTTTATAACAGCAACTGTAACTAAAGTACTCCGGTGTGGACTAATTCATTATAGGTAGATTGCCATGCTACAATCTGGTATCTACATTATTTATATTTAAAAAAAGAATATACTAATGCATTGTAATTACGATCGCGATTACTTGGAACAGAACATATTGGAATGAGTATTCGTAATTTTCTTATGCATTTCAATTCCTGAAAGTACTTGTGAGATGTTACAAATCAGGGGACAGAGTTCTATAGAACAGCCAACACTTTACGATTGAATAAAATTGCTCAGTGAATCTGAAGTTACATCTTTACATTCGTATATAAAATATCCAAACCTTGTAAGAAATTTTCACCACAGAAGGGGCCCATTTGTCAAATTCATATGTCCAGTTGGATAAAGTCCTATATAAAAGATTAAGATTGCAAAGTATATTAAAACTGCATCAAACAAAATTCTGCAAACTGATTTTAACAAAATGAAACCTGTAAACCATGTTGCACCTCTTCACTTTAACAGTAGATTGCTCTCCCATCATGTCAAAAGTGCTGTCTGGGTTTCAGATCAGAACTTGACCATGTTTCCGAAACCTTATTATACGCGTACATAAACTTGTCTAGTCTGTATCCACCAAACTGATTTTTAGTGGATTTTATGAATTTCAATTTCACTTTTAAGGACCTGTTCACAAAACTGAAAGAAGCAATGACATAACATATATTCCTATTGTATTTTTATGCTTAGATCCTTGCTTCCCAGTTCTCTTTAAAAGGCAGAAACCCCAAGTCACACATACAGAAAATGTGCACACTGGTCCTATATAGTCAACATACAAATAAAGCAAAGTGGATGAATTGGGTATCTTAATACATATACTAACACCCCCAGCAGTATTCCTATTTGCATGGAATAGATCAGTACATATTTAATGCAAAGATCAAAAGTATTTTGACAAATGAAGAAATTTGAAAATGTATTAGGTTAAAAAAAAAAAAAAACCAGAGTCAAGCCTAGGGAAGAAATTTTTATTTTACTTTTCTTGATATTTCTATTTCTTTATTTCAAAGACAGATAATTTGCAATTCTACTGCTTTCTCTCCACCAATGGATACACCAAACGTATGCCTAATTGTTCAATAATATAATTGCTGCAGCCTCAATAACCATAATATGGTTCACTGACAAGTTATTTACTCTGATGCAGAATCTGAGCTGATATGTTTGATTTGGGAGGCAGGGAAGGCTATAAAACAAAACCTGCAGACATATTGCAGAACATGTATAAACAGATATCTGACTTTAAAGTGGCATTGCTGATTTTAATTAAAATCACTGGCCTTAACAAGAATCTTTTCGAAGTTAAGAAGAAGATAACTGAGCAAAACGGAGTTTAAGCATTTCTGTCAAATCCTATTTTATACTAACACTGGATTAACCGCAAAGATGGATTAGTTAAGGAAGAAAAATGATAATCACTACAATCACCAAATGAGCAGCATTGCAATTCCACAATTCTCATTCAGCCTAAGTTCACTGGGAATTTGTAGAGTTGGAGCTCCAGGACATCCAAAAATTGTGGCTGGTGGAAGCCAAAAGATTTAAGCAACTCTCCAGAAGAATGTGAGAATCCTCAAAGGAGGACATTTTGGAATCTAAAAGGGCATCCTATGCAACCAATCTCAGCTAAAAAACACATTTTCCGCCTTGTGAATCACAATAGGGGCTAGCTAGGGGGACTAAAAGATACAATAAATTTCAACTGCTCTAAGCCATCTGTCCCAAAGGTGCTTTTTCAGGAGGCAACTGGACGTCCTTGTTTTTTCTTTGAAGACGTTTTGCTTCTCACCCAAGAAGCTTCTTCAGCTCTTACAGGATAGTGGAGAATGGAAGGATTTATATTTCTTGCATATAGCTGGTAATTTGCATCCTTTTAGACCTCTAAGCCATTTGATTTCCAATCTCACAGAATCCATATGTAAGGAAGGAAAGCAATCAAAGATTAAATCTGTAACATGCAGGCAGCATACTCCTGGTGTGTGCTTTATCCAGTCATTAAAGGTAAAGAAAAAAAGTACACGTTGTTAATGAACCAATCACAGAAAATATCATTAGGAAGAATCTGCCTACTTACGAGAGGGGAACAATGATGAGATAGGGTCCATTAAGCCTTTTATGATCCATCAGGTAAGTGATGAGTGCTATCGTCTGTATGGTCTTTCCTAGCCCCATTTCGTCAGCTAAAATTCCATTCAAATTGTTATTATATAAGGAAACCATCCATTCCAGGCCCTGGACCTGAAATACAATAAAATCCCCTCGGTTATCCGTAACAGTTATATTTTATTATTTTAACATCTCTGCTTTGGAGTCGAGTGCCTTGGTGCTGACAATAAGTAGCATAATAATAAAGAAAACATCAAAAATCTCCCATACAAGAATCACTGCTGCTATATATTCCATGTATAGTAGTAGTGGTATTCTTTTGCTCTGAAAACCAATCTCTGTTTTAGGCAGTGTTAAATATTAATACTGCTCATATTGTGACATAGCTCAAGTTTTTAGCAGTCAGTACAAGCTTCAAATTTATATTTTCACGGTGCTATAGATCTATTTGATAGCATTTAGAGCAATAAAGTACATTTCCTAATCACCAACCTGCACATTACAATGAAATTGTCCTGAATATTGTTTGAAAATAAATTATGAATGATAAATTGATTCAATATTGCAGTGTTGCAATAAAACACAGTTAATTTAACATTTTAACTGGTAGAAGTAGTGAGCAAAACACTGCAGCTAAATGAAGTGGATTTAGAAAATAACAATTAGTCCAATACAAAGTCAGACTTCAGAAAATATGTTCTCGCATACTTCCCTAGTTTGATTTTCCATTCATGTTTCCCAGAAGAGCTAAGCAATTTTCAAACCAAGAGCTGCACTTGGCATTTGAACAGTGTACTAGAAGTTGCCCTCCAAAAGGGGACAATCCAAAAAATAAAAATGATATCCCAGGTCATTGGGTAGGACTCGATTGGTAGATAAAAATGCCACATCCAGTCTGAACACCAGATAATAACATTAAAAAAAAACCAAATGATTTATTACCTATTTAAATTTAATGAAAATTAACTGAAATGTTGTATGTTATAATCATACCTCATGCATTTCATTATTTTTCTCACCCATCTGACTAAAAATGCCATTTTTGGAAGAGCTCCATCAAGGAGTTCTAAGGCTGCCTGGGAGCCTGTGGATTTAGCTGGTGCACCTTTTACATATCCTATCGGTCTATTTTATTGTTTAGATTCAATTCAGATTGTGATTGCACATCACAATCTGAAAGTTTGTGCTAAACTTTATATCTCTGAAAACACAGCAAAACATAGTCGGAGCAATTTAGCAACTGGGACAGATTATATTCACCGAAGTGAATATGAAGAGAATGCCATCATGCAATTGTATAGCATGTTGCCAGTTCAAGCCCCGAAAATCCCAGACAAAACTTTTATATTCAGTCTTGATAACAGCAGTCTAATGGAGCATTACCTTTGCTTGGTAAAGCAGTTTTCTGAATTCCGATATTTTTGATATTACAGTTATGACTGATAGAGCAACTATAATGCCAATCTGCAGTAATGCTACTCACTGGCTTTATTAACTGCTGCTTCAACAATAATAGGTGAAAACTTTTTTTAAAAAAAAATTAGCTAAACAAAAGATTAGCACTGGTATCAGTGTAAAATGTTTGTTTATAAGAACAGCCTTAGGAAATTGGAGGAAAAGCTGGACAATTGAATAAAGATTCCTCAGCCCACAGAAGGAGAGGAGGTGTCAAAGGCACTTCAGAAGGGACCCTCCCTAGTTTTCCAGAGAGTAAAAGAAAAGGATGGGAGAAATATTTTCAGATTTGCAAGATTCTATTAATTCAACCTTACAATATGATACAACTTCTTTAGCAATTTATGTTCAGATGGAAAGAAACATCTGTTTGTAGCATCACTAGGCATATATAATGCTTATGCTTCTTGTATAGCAATAGCACTTAAGACTTATATAGTGCTTTACAGCCCTCTCTAAGCCGTTTACAGAGTCAGCATATTGTCCACAACAATTTGGGTCCTCATTTTATCCACCTCGGAAGGATGGAAGGCTGTTCCTGTACCAAATCAAAGATTATGGATATCCAAGAAAGAAGAACGGGGATAAGCTTGAGCCTGGTCCATAACATACTTTGCATGATACCTGGGCTGAAATCTGCATGTTATATATATATTGTTGCACAAAATGATTTTTGGCATGCTACTAGGCCAGAAGTATGAATTCATACAACCATCGCTATAAGAAGAATGGGCACTGAAGCTCTGACCAGTTTTCCAAGGAACTGTCAAAGGCAAAATGTTTTCAAACCCTCTCCTAATAAAAACTTAATAAATAAAGGAAGTCTTACTATCGGTCAAAGTTGAGACTTACGCAGGCAATTCAGTGGAGAAAGGGGCAGAATCTGGTATGCTTCAAAATATGGACCAGACAATGGAGAAAGGGAGTCATGCTTTTTATTGTGTTATATGTCCTAAAATATTCAAGGGTAGAATTCAAGAATCGGGCCATCTCTAAACAGAATGATTTGGTAAATCTGAAATAGTCCAGCTTTTTAAAGGAGACTAATTATGGTACAGTTTAAGGATCCGTGGCACGAAGCTCCTGTTGGAACAATTTCCAGCTAGTATGCTTACCTGGTAATGTTTCAGGGTGCCGTTGATAAGAAGAGAGGACTGCTTATCCACTCTCTCAGCGATTGCATGAGCCACTGTATAGTAAGACTGAGAGCCTCTTGCACTGTACTGCATGCTGTATTCGTCATCCACATCTTGTTTGGCTGTCCTATAAAGCAAGGAATGGTTCATTTTTAATTTCGCATTGATGACTTGTTTGCCATTTTATTTCTTAAAACGTGCAGAAATCCGATCTAGAAAGGGGAGCATGCTAAATGCTTTGCTTTCTCTGCTCTCCCAAATTACTCACTCGATGATTTGCTTAGCGTCTTTTTCTGAAACATCTTCAGTGTTGGGATCCAGATGTATCTTTTCATCTAATTCTTGTCTACTTGATTCATCTTCATCTTCCTGCAAGGTTGAGGGGAAAGAACAACAACCCTTGAAGTCAATCCCACATGAAATGTTTATCCACAAGAACTCCAAAGGCCGGCTACAATTTTCCATTATGTTTTGCTTCCCTCCCCAATTTCCTCTCCCTCGTAAAATAAGAAACTGGCCCACTGAGATTTATAGAGAAGTAGCTTTTGTTAGTTAAAAAAAAAAAAAAAGTTTAGCCTGATTATAGGAAATTGGTTTTATAATTTTGCAATATGAATAAATAAGTTTGCAACATCCAAGTTCTGATGCTTTTAAAATAACTAGTGGAGGTGAACATTCTGTTTTGTGGGATTGTTTTTTTTTTAAATTATTCTGACTTTATTTTTATTAATAATGTAAGGTGGCAAACATAATACTCTTTCCTCTTCCTATTGGAAAAACAATTTCCCTGTGAAGTAGATTGGGCTGAGAGAGAGTAACTGGCCCAAAGTCACCCAGCCAATTTTTCATGCTAAAGGCAGGACTAGAACTCAGAACTAGTCCAAGTCACTGCACATGACACCAGCAGAATATCTGACATGTATTCCATGTGTGGTATTTCTCACACAGTTTTTCCACTATATATACCTCAGGTGAATTAAACCTTTTCTACTTTTAACCATAATTGGGAAGAATTCAGAGCTTTGTAGGTGGGATAGGTCTCATCTATTGCTCTTCTTGTCTCCTTAGTCCCTAAAATAAATTATTCTGCTGGGTCAGAACCATAAGCCTCTGTAATGGACAGGAAGGATTAGCAAATATAAGACTGGGACATTGAGATCCCAAAGCAAAAGCCAAAAAAAAAAAGGATACAGTATATAAATCTTACATATTTAATAAAAACTCAAAGCACTTGCCCTTGTGTTGCTCTATAGCCGTGATGGCAAACCTATGGTATGCGTGCCACAGGTGGCACACGGAGCCATATCTCTGGGCACGCAAGCGTTGCCCTACCTCAGCTCCAGTGTGCATCTGCGTGCTGGCCAGCTAATTTTCGGGCCTTCCAGGCCCACCGGAAGTCAGGAAATGGGCTGTTTCCGGTCTCCGGAGGGCCCCCGGGGGGCGGGGAAGGCCATTTTTGCCCTCCCCAGGCTCCAAGAAAGCCTCTGGGAGGGTGAAAAATGGGCCTACCAGGCCCGCCGTGCCAAACGGGCACACTGAATTATGGGTGTGGTCACACACATGTGCTCCCCCCTGCACTCCCCCCCACCGCTTTTGGCACACGGTGGCAAAAATGTTAGCCATCACTGTTCTATAGCAAAGCATATTTACTTCCCTAGCTATTACTGGCAGTAGTTTTAATGGCAGTTTTAAAAATTACTGAATACATCCTTGGCTGCTAACATCACAAAGCAAAAACAAAAAAGCCTCCCCCCCTCAAAAAAAAAAAATCCTCACACACTACTCCACTTCTAAACCATTTAATGAGAAACTGATTAAAATATAATAGTTTTCAGACAAGCTGTATAAAGGAAAAAATATCCAAGAAGACGTATTACCGATTATATTAAAAATTAACAATCTATATCCATTTTGATGAACTGCAATATCTTTAAAACTAAACCCATATTACATACTGTGATTAACAACCATCAGTAATCAAAAAGAAATCTGGCATCCTTCATTGCTTAAAGATTTATGACTAGGTATTTTTCCAGTTAGTTAATTAGGTTATAGTACAGTAATTTACGACCGAATTGAAACATTTTATTTAGACAAGAAAAGTCACACAAATTAGTATTATTATGGCTTATTATTGTTATGCTACAAGGAAACTGGGAGACTGGATGATACACGGTGGATTTTATTTTAATTAGGTTCTTTGTTTCTTTATTTATTGGCATTTCTATTCCTGCTCTAAATTATATAACCTCATGGCAAATTAAAACAGTAAATTAAAATAATATATAACACACAATAATAAAATAAATAAACCTGATCATTCATAAAACCAAAGAAATAAATATGATGCCTAAATAAACTGACCATGGACACCATCAACTTGGAGAACTTCTAACTACTAAATTCCCTATGGAACAGCCGCTTTCCAGAAGAATTGTGTTTGTTTGTGATAGTGGTGAATATCTATAGCTTGGGTGTAAGATGAGGGTGGAGGTTCGTTCTCTGAGCTTGTGGATTGGTTTCTGAATGTTTTGTTACTAGGCTAGGTAACATCTTCAGCGGAATTGAGGGGATGTCAGTGTCGGTGTTTTTCTGCTTATAAGGGCTTTGTGCGGTCACAAGACCTACCGACCACACAAAGCCCTTATAAGCAGAAGAACACATACACTAGCCTGGTAATGAAACATTCAATCTACAAGCTTAGAGAATGAACCTCCACCCTCAATTGTGTTTGCACTGTTTAGCCTCAGTAGGCAGATTGTGTAAACTGGAGTTCATGACTAAGAAACATTACGCTTGGGCCCTCCAGCCTCAGCCTTACAGATATTGGGGATAGATAACCAGGATAAACTAATGCAATGAGTTCTACCTGAGGCTACCTTTGAATATTATTCTGTAGCTACCACTGATACAAAACATAGCTGCCACACCACACCACACAGAATGGCTCTACCTGGAAAAGGTAGTTTTGAAGATACCTTGGATCCAGGACAATGAAGAGCTGTAAAAGCACTCTGAATGGTACCCTGAAGCCCTCTGGCAACCGAGAGCGGCCACTGTCAATGAAGCTGGATGAAGATGCTCTCATCCCTTAGCATGTAGGCAGCTGAGTTTTCTACCAATTGTAGCTTTTTAGTGGTTTGCAAAGGTAACTCTCCATGTACAATACACTGTGGTAGTCTATTCAGGTACTTATTTCGCAGTATTACAGAGTTGTACCTATAACTTCAATAGTTAAGATTAATTTTTTGCATGCTTATTTTTACTGTGTTATCAAAAAATATTCTTCTAGATAAAGAGCTACATCAAGAGAGAGTGTTCACTTACATCTTCTTCATATTCTGAGCCACTTTCATCTTCACTGTCTGACCTGGGAGCAACTTCATAGCTGATCAGGAAGAAGCAGGTGAAACAGTATGAGTAAGGGAACTCCTTCAAAATAGCAACCCTTTAAAAATATTTCTAAGAAAAAATTATTTCAGAGAAGTACAAAAATAACATTAAAGATATTTAAAAAATCAAGTATGGGAGAAATCATTCATCGACTTCCAGAGGAAACAAATTGGCTCACAGTGCTAAAATTATTGCTCCACAATAACTAGTCACAATGGGCAGAGCTTACTTACATCCATTGTGTTCTGCTCAAAAATGTGCTAAGAGTTGACTTTTCTCAGAAAAATGCACCCCTCCATAAGTAAATATTTAAGAAAGATCCATAGAAGCTTGTGCATTTAGAAATAAATAGATTTTAATAAACATATAGTAGTAAAGCTGCATATTAAAGCACGTTGCAGATAACAAAAGCTGCAAATTTTTGAGCAAACAGTGACCAAACACAATACAAGAGCGATGGTGGCACAGTGGTTAGAGTGCAGTACTGCAGGCTACTTCTGCTGATCACTAGCTGCCAGTAGTTTGACAGATCAAATCTCACCAGGCTCAAGGTTGACTCAGCCTTCCATCCTTCCAAGGTCGGTAAAATGAGGACCCAGATTGTTGGGGGCAATATGCTGACTTTGTAAACCGCTTAGAGAGGGCTGTAAAGCACTATGAAGCGGTATATAAGTCAAAGTGCTATTGCTATTGCTATACATAAAAAACCTACAATGCTAATATGGATGGGGTTTAGAACCATTTACATATGTGTAAATTACAATAAAAAATCTGCAAATACTTAGGCTGCATGACTGTAATGCAAAAGCATTGGGTTATGCATTAGGAGGTAAACATTACTTACCCTGGGTTCATTTCTAACCAAGCATCCAATTGACTTGCTTTAGGAGCTTCTGGTCCAAGGAGAACTTTGCCTGTTTCTGTATGAGTTACCTTGACCGGGAGATCGCTCATCTGACTGCTCTCATCTATGAGCTAAATATTAAGGAGAAGCATATATTTGAATTTGTGTAGAGAATAGGATTCTGTGAGACAAAGAGTGAAAATAGGTTCTAGTAAATTCAAAGTTCTTAATATCACACCATTTATTTATTTAGCCCCACGCCGAGAACCCCAAATTAGGAAGGATTTAAGAGGAAAAAAATGTGCCTACTCAAAAAAGACTTGGGATTTACTCCCTTTCAAACTAAACCCTGTATAATTTATGTTATCACATGATGCATCCTGACTGGAGGTACCCCATGTGCAACCCTGAATCTTCATAAAGTATGTAGCTTGATGAGGGAGAAAGTATGCCAGGTCACACAGTAACATAGATAGATAAAGAAATTAAACAGTTTATATTTCGGCAGAAACACTGTCATAACTTTAAATGTCTTCAATGCTTAATGATAAAGGAGATAGGTTTAATAGGGTAAGTTTAAAGGTTAGAACTGCTTTGCTGCCTTGTTGTGGAAGGGAGTGCTCCTGGAAGAGGTGAGCAAAGAGCATCAGGACTGGATGCCAGGAGTTATACTCCCAGTAGTATGAACTCAGTGTGAATTCATCCCATCTGTTCAGATAAAGGAAGCAGGCATCTATATCAAGGACTATAGCAGGCATCAAGAAATCAAGGACCACTTGGAAGAAGACAAATGGCAGATTATGGGCCCCTCAGACTGGATGTCGCTAAAGGCCTTTTAGAGTACTACAGACAGTCCCTGACTTATGACTGATCATTTAGCAACAGTTCAAAGTTATAAGAAACCTCCTAAAAGGGATGTAAAACCTGGTTTCCAAGTTTTGACATCAGACCCCCTCCTGCATTCATGTGACTGCATTTTGGGCGCTTAGCAAGTGGTCCACATTTGCAGTGCCCATGATTTACAGTTTCTGGCAAAACACAGACCCATAGTGAACACTGGGTTCACTTAACAACCACTGCAAAAAAAAAAAAAAAAAAAAAGAGGCCAGTTGCATGGTGACCTGTTTTATGAGCATCATGGGTTTTGCTAGGACTATCTGTAATAATGTTTAGGATGTGGCTAAATTAAAGCTTTTGCACTGTCTAGTCGCTGCTATTACCATGAAAGAAAAGAAAACATGAAGCTGCAAATGGAATTATAGTTTGAACTTGGAATGTAGAAAGCATGAAGATGGGAAAGCTCAAATCGGTGAAAAATGAAATGAACAAACTACACATTGACATCTTGGACATCTGCAAATTGACATTGATAGGAATTGACATTTTAAATCAGAAGATCATACTGTTTACTACTCAGGACAAAAAAAATAAAATAAAAAGAAATTTCATAGCCAGGAAGGATATAGCAAAAATAGCGCTTGGATAGGCTACACCCAAGTAACATCAGTAAGTTTTCATAGTTAATCCTTTAATATTACAGTTATTCAGGTTTAAATCCGAACCACAGATGCAGACAAAGAAAAAAGTGTAGGTGTTTTATGGTCAAATTCAATCTGAAATTGACAGAATAGGCAAGCAAGATCTGGAAACAATCTGCAGTTTGGAGATTGCAATGCCAAAGTTAAAGTAGTAAGGAGGAAAACATGGCTGTCTTGTTCAGCCTAGGAAACAGAAATGAAGAAGTAAAGTGAATTATCTGTTTTTGCCAATTTAATGATGCCTTTATTATTAATAAATTCTTCAGACAACAAAACAACAGTTATGTACATGGTTATCGCCAGAAGGAGCACACAGAAATCAAGGTACAAGGAAATAAAAGAGCTCAGTTATAACAGCAAAGACATCATCAAAGGCTGTGAAACAGACCACGTGAACTGCTTATGTGCAAGTTCCAAATCAAAGTAAAGCCGAAGAACAAAGCCAACCAGTTTCCAAGACATGAGCTTGACCACAGATGCATCATTTTCAATAACAACATTGGGAACTTCAACGAAGGCCTGAAGCACATTTATAGGGAGCCAAGGAATGAAATCTAAGACGTCAAGAATGAATATGAAAAGAGACTGCCAAATACCAAGAAACAGAAGAAATCAAACTGGATATCAGAACAGATGGTGAACACTGCCAGGAAGAGAAGAGAAGCCAAGAAAGACAAAGATCTCAGGAAGGAAATTAACAAAGAATTTCAGAGAACTGTTAAAAGAGACAAAGGAGCTGTCTTACAATTTTGGTAGAAAAATATAATGTGGAGAGAGACCAAAAACAAGGGAAGTCCTTTGAAAGATGTCTGAAGGAGCTTCCAACCTTAAATTGGACACCAATGAATAGATAGTGACCAATCCAAAGAGGAACAAACAGATGGAAGTAGTACACTGAAACTGAGTGTAACCAGATGTCAACATCTAAAAATACTTTGGAAGATATTCTGAATTTATAAGAACTTCTAATGGCAGAAGATGAAATTAGCACTACAGCAATCACCAAGCTGGAAAGCTACAGGAACTGATGGAATATCTACAGAAATATTACAAGCAACAGAAGAATCAATAATGGTTGTAACCAAACTATGCCAGCAAATCTGGACAAAAGCTGGACATTGGCCAACAAATTAGAAGAGTTACCAGTAGCAAAGAAAGGAGATTTACGTGATTGCATAAAATTCTCTATTTCACATGTTAGCAAAGTACTTGTTAGGATCATCTAATCATACAATCTTGCTCAGAAAAGGGAATACCAGATGTTCAAGCTGGTTTTAGAAAAGACAGAGGACCAAGATTCATTATTGCTGATGCACCCTGGATAATTGAGAAAGCCAAAGAATGCGCAAAATAAATTGACATGTAGTTCATCCATTCTAGAAAGGCCTTGAATGAATCAATCCGAATTGTGGAATGTCTTCAAGAAACTGGGATTCCTAGAATATATTATTATCTTCATATGGAACGTACACAAAGGATAGGGACACACCAACCAAATAGAAAAGTGGCTCCAGCTTGGCAAAAGGATGAGAAGGTACTCAGCTCGCTCCTTCCTTCCTTCCTTCCTTCCTTCCTTCCTTCCTTCCTTCCTTCCTTCCTTCCTTCCTTCCTTCCTTCTTCCCTCCCTCCCTCCCCATCTCCTTTTATTCTTTATTCAATCTATATGCTGAATATATAATGAGGGAAACAGTACTGGAAGAAGATTTTAAGATTGGATAACATCAATAACCTGCCCTATGTTGATGACGCTACTTTGATAACTGAAAATGCAAATGATGTACAAAATCAAGGAACACAGGAAAAAACATGAGATTACATGTTGTCCTCCTTAAAATAAGGAAGACTACACTAATGTTAATTGTAAAATAATCAACCTGTGAAGTGACTAGATACTGAACTAGTGGACCATTTTTGCTTTTTAAAATCAACTATCAACATTAACAATTTAAAAAATGCCATATGCTAGGATTGGGTAAGGTTTTCCCTGTGCACATTCTATGGAAGTGGAAGTTGGATTTTGAAAGCAAGACACTTTTGGATTTTGGTGTTGGAGAAGACTCTTGAGAATAACAGGAAAACAAACAAATAGATCGTAGAACAAATCAATCCAAAATTCTCCCTTGGGAGAATGTTGTTTTGGAAATAATGTTTTCAAAATATGACAGGCTCAAACTGTCATATTTTGGAAACATTATGCAAAGAATAAGCTTCCTTAAGAATGCTAGGACCATTAATAATGTTAATAACGCTAGGACAAGTGGAAGGAAAAAGAAAATGATCAGCAGCATGGTGGATGAACCGAATTACAACAGCAATATGAATTACAACAGCAATATGATTGCAACATTGAGAGATATAATAGGCCGGGTTGAGAACAAATCATGTTGAAGAAAGTTTATCTATGCAGTTGCTAAGAGTCTATCTTAACTTGATGGCACTTCATCAATTCAACCCTATGAGCTTACTATTGACCTTTAAGTTAGTCTCACTGATTTCAGTGAGACTTTCTAAGGAAACATGCAATGTCTTTGACTGCAGTGGGATTACTTTCAGATATAACTGTACACCAGATTATCTCAATGGCTTATAAAAACATCTCAGTCATTTTAAGTAATCTTGGAGCAAAGTTTCAACTAATAATGTGTGTCATATTTCTAGCATAATACATCAGCATAGAAACTTTATGGTTATTATAGTGCATTCTAGCATGCTCATTAGTGAGATAGCTCATTAAGTAGAAGTGTACTCATTAAAAACTTCAATTAGATGTGTTGGACAAAGTGTCTTGCATTAAACCAATTTACTAGACATCTTATTGCATATGACAAAAGAAAGCATACGGTAAATCTACTAATGTAAATGTGCCTGATTAGATAGACTGTAATAATCCAATTTACTGATGAAGGGCAAAGCTAAAACTGTGTTTTTCATGTTGCAAAAGCAAAATATTTTGTAGCTGATTCCAAAATATAATTTTAAATGATGCCAACTGTATGGATGTTAATATGAAATATACTATTACCTAGCCTATATAACTGTAACCTCCAAATTATATATTAAGAAATCATGATCATTAGGATTTTCTTTAAAGTTTTCCTTATTTATGCTGCATTTATATAAATGGTAACCTCATGCTTCAATCTATCATTTACAATCAATAGAAGGCAACATCTATGCAATTAAGCTAATGTTAATTTACATCCATCTTTTTCTACATTCTAACCTTGTATTTACAACCTCCTTTAAATATGATGAGGGAGGAAAATAATGATATCAAAAATACATACAATTTTAAAATAAATACAGCATATACAAGCCTAGACATAGTAAGTAAAACTGAATATACAAGATGCTTCTGCCGATGAGAAATTAAAGGCAAGTTAGTTTTCTCAGTTCTCACTTCCCCTTGCAAATCCAATAAAGAGCATGTTAGATGAGAAAGTGATTCCAAGGCCAAGGGAGAACTATATGGATTGAAGTTCCTTTGTTGAAGAACTTTTAAAATTTAGGATCTTATTTTGTATAATTGGTTTTACTATTATTGACAAAAGATGTTACATAGAGGCTTCATTATCTGTAACATAATTTATAAACAGGATTATTGCTTTCTAAAAATATCTATAATTCATGCTGAGGAAAATAGTTCTTTGTGTTAACCTTGTTGCCCCACTGCTCCCAAATTTATTGAAATATAAAATGTGACATTTTGTTTAGCATTATAGTAAAAGTAACAGCTAACACTTTTGAAATGCTTCCTCAGAGGAAAATAGAATTCTTACTTCTCCATCAGGACCAAGTCCAGATCCTATTCCTTCCATGTTGTCTTCTACCTTCTGAAATAAAAACACATGGATAGTTAATATTTCAGCAGAAGTTCTGTTTAAAAATATTTAAATTGTAATTTTCTTAGGTGATGGCGGAAAGCAAATGCCCCAGTTGAGAAGATGGCTCAAGGGGCGATTAGCTTGGACTTTTGCTACACAAACTGAAGAGGGCAAGGTCTAACTCCATCCCCACCCCACCCCCAAAATTGAGCCTTATCTAGTCTTTCCCAGCTGAAAGACGCCAGTCTGAGTAGATTCCTGTGAAATGGTCACAGAAAAATAAAGTAGCTAGTTTGAACTCTACATGTATGGATCTGGTTCTTCACACCTAACACTTTACTGAATTTTGTGCAATTAGACAGGTCCTTTCAGAGTCACACTGAAGTCACACTGATTACATATTTAAGTATAAACAAAATGATACATTTTCCAACTGCATACTGTCTCTAGACTAGTCCCCTTATTTAAAGCAGGAAATGAAATGCTATAATTACATCTTGCCTTAGAAACTGGAACTTGTTCATAATTTAATTATATCCAGAAATGAATCCAGTTTATCATTTATTTCATCATTTATATTCCGCTTCTAATTCAACAGACCCTGGATAATCACACACAATATACAGGAAGTCCTCGACTTACAACCACAACTGAGCCCAGAATTTATGTTGCTAAGTGAGAATTTGTTAAATGAATTTTCTCCCATTTTACGACTTTTCTTGCCACATTTGTTGAGTGGATCACTGCAGTTGTTAAATTAGCAACACGGTTGTTAAGAGAATCTGGTTTCCCCATTGACTTTGCTTGTCAGAAGGTCGCAAAAGGTGATCACATGACCCTTGGGTACTGCAACCATCATAAATATGAACCAGTAAATCACGTGACTATGGGGCTGCTGCAATGGTTGTACATGTGAAAAATGGTCATAAGTCACTTTTTTCAGTGACACTGTATCTTTGAATGGTCACTAAGCAAACTGTTTTAAGTCAAGGACTGCCTGTATGTTTTAAAACCAATATATTTAGGAGTAGTTAAAAAAAAAACTCTAAGTTCCAAATGGCCTGTTTCCTTTCCAAACGCCAAGACAGCAGGACCCTGACAACATCTCAGGGATAGGTAATTCCAGAAAGTCAGGGCCAACTCCAAAAAGGCCTGCTTTCGGCTACTTTCTGAATGGAAACTGCAATATCCACTTGCAAGCCAATCACACAAAATAAGCAGACCTCCATTTGAAGAATATGGTTCCATGTTATGACACAAGGACCCAAGCCATACAGCTTTAGAAATAATAAACGCACTCTGAATTATAGCTGACGATAAAATGGCAACCAGTAAAGCAGCCATAATCTAGATGTCCCATTGCTAAAGTGAATCTCCCCCACCTTCAGAGTACCTCACTCCGTACCAAATGGAAGCTTCGGAGATGTCTCCAAGTAGAGAGGACACTGCAGTAATGCAAATTTTATCAGCTTCTAGCTCTGAAAACTTTTCCCAGCAATTCCTGCTGTTATCCGTGCCTTGGGATGCGTTTTCCTTCTACTCAATTTCATTTCTAGATGTGCCCACGTTGGGAAGTGAAGAGGCCAGGATGGGAGGAAGAATGTTACTAATGCTCCCTACCTCTACTCATCGGTCAGCAGGACTTAACTCCTAATAAATGTGCAGAAAAAGGAATTATAAGTGTCAGGAACCTTTTCTGCTGAGTTGGGAAAAGATTATCATTTGATTTTAAAGATGGATTTGGGGTTGAGAGGCGGGCACATGTTGATGCATACTCTGCAAACGAGTTGCTTTTAGCAGTGGATGGAGGAGAAATAATTTCTATGGAACAAAAATCAACTGATTTTAAAAAGAGGTGGGGGCCAATGATTTAAATGTGTAAGCAATCCTCAAATAATCATCTTAATAACACTGAATTAATTTTTAGCCGGCTCTACCCCTTTTTGGGGAATGCAGTGCTACCTATCACAACTGTGGCTCTTAAGCTTCTTTGTAGGAGGATGCCAATTGCTGGAACTATCTTGGTGAATTTGAGTAGAAGTTCCATTTCAGTCATACCTCCTAAAGGTATGGAGGTTTGAAACAAGAAGGAAGTGTGTTTCCATCCCACTGTTTCTCCCCACTGAGCTCTTCCTGCATTCAAGCAAATACCTGAACAAGCATTTTGCTTCTTCTTGCAAAATTCTAACCAGAGATCCTGCTCAGGAGCACCCTCTGGTATGGAGAGAAATCTATGATTTGCTGGACCTCACTGAAGTAGACCCCATCAAGAAGTTGGTAGGGGCAGCAAAGGCTGCAATTTTAATTAGTTGGGCAGTGACAGGCAAATAGGAAGGAGAGTTGTGGTCATCTGTGTTGCATCAAAGACTTTAGAGAACTGTAGACACCTGAAAGGTGGCAGGTGTGTGTCTCTAGACTAACTGCTAAAACCCTGTTCTGGCTTTTATTTACCTTGTTTTCTTCTTTTCCTGGTAGTGGTACAAAATATAGAAAACTATTTACACAAAACCTGGCAGAAAGCCAACGTCAAACAAATCCTGGTGGCAGGCAGGTGCAGAAAGCAGATAGCTCTTACATTGCCTAAAAGCTTATTTTAACAGCAAGCAGTCTCAGCAACTAAGAGGAGGCCTTCTATATAAGGCCTGTAATGTCACACCTCCTCTTAATTAGCTCTGTTAAAGAGCTGCTCAGAACTGAGAGTTTAAACAGGACTTCACATGAAGGATGTTAAGCACAAAGGAGCCACGTATTATCCTACATATGAATAATGCCCAAGCATATAAAATTGCAACGGAAGACCATTAAGCCTTTGATGAAAAAATAGCAAACAAAAGGTGAAAACAAACAAGATGAGGAAATATTTGTAACAGATAGGCTAGATAACACATTTACAATTCTTTAAAGGTTTATCAGACCAGAATACTGTAATTTTACAAAAAGAAACACCTTGCTTTGAAATGCTTATAATTCTTAGACACTACCTTACCTTGGTTAGGACCTGAATTATTAAGTTTCTACCAGTGTTAGACTGTGAATCTAACTGTCAATTACCCACATATAATAAGGATTATGTATTAGGCATCATGTTATATTTGTGTTTCAATGAGTTAGAACACTTCATATTATCAAGTTCCTTATCACAGATATTCCTAACTATAGTTCTAATTAGCAAGAGGGATTTGTTCTGATAAAAACATTTCATTAGTTAGACAGTAGTGTTACCATTTAATGATCCTAAGTTCAATCAAATATACGTCACCCTAAAGAATGTTAAAAACAACTTTAAGTATACCTTACATCTCTTTTTATTAAAGAAAAATCAATTTTACGATATGAAAGGATAAGGGCTAACTTAAAAAGGAGTCATTTTTGCATATTAATCCATTTTAAATATTGAAAACACAGTAAAATGCTTCTTTCAGGAGCCCATTTAAAAATATGTACGGTAATTTATAAAATGAGCCAGGGTCAGATTTTAACGAAACATGAGCGTGTTCAGTATACTGAAATGTGGGTCATTTCATTTCCATTTTTTCCCTTGCCATTAGAATTGCCCAGCTTATTAAGGTCCCTTCCCCAAGGTACAGGGATATAACAAGCAGCATTCAGAAGTGGGAGACTCCAAAAATCTATCTACCAAGAAGATAAAAGCAAAAGCCTCTAATATGGATTCAACAACAAACATTTATGCTTATATCACCTCAGGTTTTAACTATTTTACCACTATTTTCAGAAGACTGTTTGGAAAGTATAGAGTACATACCTCCCTTGAGTGTCCTTTTCTTTCTCTATGTCAAATGTTTTTCAACCACAGCAACATTAAGATGTGCAGACTTCAACTCCCATAATTCCCCAGCCCATATACAGGTAGTCCTCTACTTACAACAGTTCACTTAGTGACTGCTCAAAGTTACGACGACACTGAAAAAAGTGACTCATGACCATTTTTTACACTTATGACCGTTGCAGCATCCCCATGGTCACATGATTTACATTCGGATGCTTGACAACTGACTCATATTTATGACGTTTGCATTGTCCCAGGATCGTGTGATCATCTTTTGCAATTTTCTGACAAGCAAGCAAAGTCAATGAGGAAACCAGATTCACTTAACAACCATGTTACTAATTTAACAACTGCAGCGATTCACTTCACAAAAGTGGCAAGAAAAGTCGTAAAATGTGGCAAAATTCACTTAAAGGTTTCTCACTTAGCAACATAAATTTTGCGGTCAATTGTGGTCGTAAATTGAGGACTACCTGTACTAGGTTGACACACCTCAAACCTGCTGAGGTTGAGAAACACTGGGCTATGTGCATGAAAAGAACGGAGAACCTTCTATGAAAATGCCTTGGAAGAAAGCAAGTGCATAACAGGAGATTTCTTTAAAAGACTTTTGGTAACAACTGAACTCTATTACTTGCCTTCTTTCTTCTTCTCCTCTTCTTTTTTTCTTTGGCAGCTTGTGCTTGCTTGTGTTCCCACACCAAATTTGTCAGATTGGCCACATATTCATCAGTTTGCTGCAGCAGATAGGCTAGACGTCTGTCTTTTTTCTGATCAATGAGTTTGCGGTAGCCTTCTTCATCTTCAGCCTAGTGGCATGAGCAAATGAAAATTCACGTAACGTCAAAACTTACTGCCTGATCAGCATAAAACAGTTCAAAAGGAGAGGATCAATTTGTATGTTTTAGTTTAAATCAGGCATATCCAACCTGTGGTCTATGGTCCGTGTATAGTCCTGGATGGCTAGTATTGCAGCCCAACAAGGGTGTATAAAAATATTTTTAAAAAGTAAGTTTGTTATTTAAATACATTAGTTATATATTTTACATGTGGTCCAAGACAATTCCTCTTCCCTCAAAGTGGCCCAGGCAAGCCAAAAGGTTACACTCCAATGGTTTCAATGGTTATGGGAAATGAAGTTACAAATCAGGTCTACAAATTAGACTGTACTTCCTAATCTAGGGGTATCAACTGATCATTTTATTGTTATTTAAGACATACAACATGGTGATGATTCTCAAAGCACCAGTGGAGAGTCTAGTGAGACATTTGTTTTCTACTGTTTTTAGAGAAGAGATGGGTAATATGAGGGCATCCAAATGTTTATGAACTTCAGCTTCCACAATTCCTAGCAGTAATCAAACGAAGCTTTGATTTGGGATTTGAAGTTCAATAATATTTGGAGAGAATAAACGTACCAGGTAAAACTATCAATATACTTCTTTCCTCTCACTGTGTGGAGTTTACAGTAAACACTCTCGGAAAATCTTGATTTGGGTTGAAAATTCAATTAAACATACGTCACTGATAACAATGACATTCCAAAGTTTATCATGATCAAACTACTGTTTTGATATACTATTCATTTTCAAAACATGCCTGAGAATAGCAAATAGCCGAAACATTTAATTTTTAGTATGATTCAAATATATCTGAAAGGGAAGGAAAATAATAGAGTTTGAAGAATTTGAAAGAAAGGCTATGGTATGACAAAAATTTCTACTGAGCAACAATCAATCTCTAAAAATATCAGATTATCATTTTAGAATGTCTGGGAACCAGGTTCAGATAACTGTATAATAAACATTTCCCCATTTATTTTCTTCATGTAATCCAACATAAAGATGGAAATGTGTTGGGGAGACATAGATTCCCACTAACAAAGCTGTCCTTGGGGTACACTCCCTTGAATCTTTCTTTGATAACTGGAAGGCACCAGAATACGTTTTTATTGCCAGGATTTTTAAAACATAAGGAATACTGGAACTGTCATGAACTGCTGCACCTATGTTCATTTTATTTTTTTGAGGCCATCTTCCGCAATAATTAACTTGCCTCTAAATCATTGGTGTCAAATTCGTGGCTGTCATGTGACTTTTGCGACATTTCCCCCCTTTACGGAGCTGGGGTGGGTGTAGCCTGTGTGGGCCGCCAGTTTGACACCCCAGCTCTAAATCCAGGTGTATCATTTGCTTTTCTCCTGTAATTTTGATTGAATATTTTAAGGGATTCTAAAGGAACAGGGTTAATATAATTTTTCCTTTAAGCTTTCTCCTCTGATCCCCAAAACAAGAAACTAATTTTGCCAGTCTCCATGATTGGTTACATCACATCTTACCATCAGCCTTCTCATTCGTTCTTTCTCAATCCTCTCTGTTTCTTTCTTCTGTTCCCGTTCTGTGTTGGCATGCCAAGTAGCCACAGCTTTGGAAAGCTTCTGAATTTTTCCAGCCACTGACCGATGGTATTCTTTAAAATCTTTAGCATGCTGTAAAATGCTATTGAGATATTCCTGTTAAAATAATAGTAATAACTGTCAACTGAGGGCAGGAAACCAACAAACTTAGCAAAATCATTTAAGTACATGAGAGCAGTATTTTTTTTATTCAATTTTTTATTCAGTACAGAACAGCAGTAAGTAGCAAGAAATATTCTATATGAGGATGAACTAAAACTCTAAGTTTTCAATATCAGCCATACTGGTTACGTCTGATGGGATTTGAAGTACTATGCTGTTTCTATCTTGAGAACTGAAAAGACAAATGGCTACATATGGTTTCTCAGAAGTATGCTTCTGGTTGCACGCCAAACATTACTGAACATAGAACTAATAAAAAGTAGGGGGAATAAAACTGAATTTATCTTAACTAAGTTCAATTAATAGGATTATAACTCATGTATTTAGTAATATTCCTCTTTCAGTTTTAGCAATGTAATTTGGAATGGATTTGAAGATTTGGGGTTGCACATATAATCTTGAGGATGCAGGCTGCAAAAAAATGGCAAGTTTAGGTAGATAGATGGATGAAGTTAGGATGGATACTCAAAGATATGAAGGCTAAATTACATGTCTATTTTTTAAAAAGTCTTCTTTTTTGCAGTTTAAATAAATCTAGAATAACTGCTGAATTGCCTATAATTGCCTATTAAAAGCTCACTGTAGTTTATATTTTAACAGAACTGTCAAAGACAAAAGTCTGCTATTCAATTAGTTGCAGAAAGCCAGTTCAGTTTAGTGGCTAAAAACAGTAGACTAAAAACTGGAAAACTGAGTTCTATCCCTGTCTTAGGTGCAAAGCCTGCTAGATTATTTCTGAGCCAATCTCTCTCTCTTAGCCCCTAGGATGCAGAAATGGCAAATTTCCAAAAGTCTTGCCAAGAAGATTTTAAACTCCAGTGACTCATCCAATCAGTTGCCACAAGTCAAGATGACTTGAAAGACTTGATGCATAGATAGGCATATACGTACATACATATTGGGAGGTGAAATCTGGCTCATGGCAATTTTTAGGTTTTTGATGCAGTCTTTTAGGATTACCATATTAAGTTTGCAAAAAATTAGATAATCATCACATGCCAGCAAAAAGATGTAACAAACTTGAATTCTTTGCTGGCATTTAGTAGTCATTGGGATTTATGAAGCCCAGTTATGGCAGCCTGAATGCAACCTTTTCTCCTTATTTTCCTGCCTCTCTTGATATATAGTTATCTCAGCAGCTGCCAGTTTCTTGAAAGGCAATTTCTTGAAAGCAGAGACACTACAGATTTTTCTTTCTGCAGAAGCTAAAGTAGCTGACCCTCTGGTTTCTGTACTGAGCAGATTCTGTGGTAACAATTTCTTGTGAGAAACAGGGCTTTTAAAAAAAAAAAAGTCTCTTTCTTCAAGGGCCAGAGGCTTTTGAACCTTTTCAATACAAAAGTTACAAGCTATGATATTCTGCACTTGGATTCAGTGTTTCCTGGATAGTAGTTAATAGGCTGTAACCATGATAAGGAGAGATGTTCTCTTTGATGTGGGACAAGGAAGAGGCTCTAGGTGGATCTGAATATATCTGCATATGTGGCCCAGATCTACCATTCAGCACTTCCTGCAACTCTTTGGCTCAAAGCTTATCCAACCTGGTGAGTATCTGAACCTCCATTCTTTAAGGGCTGTATCCAAGGAAGTGGTTTCTAATCCAGCTAAAAAACATTGTTAAGAACAATTTTTAGTCATTGTTTCTGGAATAATAATTCTCAAAGAGGACCTCAAAGTTCAATTCAGATATATCTAAAATGCAGAAGAGGAAATTGTTAAAACCTTTAACAATCCCTGTTAAAACCCTCTAATGGACACAAGCTATTTAGCATTTGTGAGATCAACTATAGATTGATTATTTCAGAAAGAGGACATAGCTTGTGTAAAAAAACCCCAAAGTTCAGTTCCTGATATTTCAATTTTTAAAAAAGTCATAAAAAGTTACCAAGTAATGTCTTCCAACATACCAATCAATGGAAATAGTATTGGTAGGAAGGAGAAGGGTGGTATATAAATTGAATAAATAATAATAATAATAAGATATATTTCTAAATCATAATTTCTCATTAAAAGACTTCAAATATTGAATCCACCAAAAAGAACCAGAAGTATAAAGTGGCCTCATTTCCTGAAATGTATATCAGGACAAGCCACAACTTGGCGCTTTACCCAAAGAATATTTCCAATCCAATATCTGATACTTCTTAGTAGATTTGGGAGAGACTAAAAGCCTAGATATTCACTTCCTGCCAGGTTTGGAAGAACTGAGCTTCTGCATCTATCCGTTTGTTACATATCAATAACTAAAAAACACAGAATGACCCACTCTGTCATTTGGGTCCAAGGAAGAGTATTTTTTAATACGATTTATGACAATGAAGTAGGAATGGTAGGAACAAATGTGAACTTTCACAAAAAAAGCTGACAGATTTTCAAACAACCAGGAATGGGTTTCCGCGCAGCAGCATATGCAGGGGACCCTGGCAAAATGACAAAAAGCGTTGTGCCAATGCTACGCAAGCTCCGCCCCTTTTGTACGTGCATTGTGTTCTCGCATGCATGGGTGAATGGGATGGAGCTCGCCTCACAATGGCACAACAGTTTCATTTTGATGAAAGCACTGGATCCTGTGGACATCTCTGTATCAGCAAATTCCAACTCTTTCAGATTTTTCCAATTTATGTATTGAGCTGCCAATTCATTGTGGCTCCTTCTCATTATGTTAATACATGAGACACAAAAGAAGCAGCTGGATCTTCCTCCAAACTCTGCATGAGCATTCACTGACAAATGGACTGCGGAGTAATGAAAGCCAAGCCAACATATCTAGCAGGATATAAAACCTATAAGTGGGCCCTTGACAGATTATTCCATCCACTTGTAGAGGGGAAAAAACATACAAACCGAACAGTCCCAAAGTCACCAAAGGGTACCTGGTGCTTCTGTCTACGTTTTCTCTCCTGCTCTATTTTCTGTTGTTTCTCAAGTTTCTCGGTCATTCGGGCTTCCCTCAGGGTCTGCCGCTTGCTCCGTTTGTATGCCTTAGAGTTCAGAGCAGTCTCCAAAGTTGTGTCCCGACGCATGCATGCCACTACTTCTTGTCGCAGCTGTGAACCAGAAGAGATAGCATTTTAAAAGGAAATCAGGTCAGAAAAATTGCACTGATAAAAAACGGAAAGAAAGAAAAAAAAGCATTTCAAAGTGTTCTTTCCATTTTGTTCTGGATGTCTAATATAAATGTGATTGGACTTCCAGATTCTAAAACAAGTTTGTTGATCAAATAAAGCGAGTCAATTTGAATTTGAGAAATCTAACCAGGCAGTGCTTTAAAAGAAAACAGATTTTATCAATTCAATCCTGGCATTTATATGAAAAGTGGAGCTGCAGTGTCAAATTAATTTCTTTCCTGATTTTAGTTTCATAAACTAGGTCTGCATTTATTGTTCTGTTTTTGTTTTGCTTTTTGTTTTAGTTTTAGCTGCACTGCTGTTTGTTGTGATTGGGTTGCTTTGTAAAAAGAAAAAAGAAAAGTTAATAAAATTATTCTATACCCTTGCAGGACAGGGAATTATGTAAGAGACAAAACAGGAATGGCAATAAATCTTAGCACTTAGATTTATATTCGCTCCATAGTGCTTTACAGCACTCTCTGAACGATATACAGTGTCAGCATATTGCCCCCAACAATTTGGCTCCTCATTTTACCAACCTCGGAAGGACAGAAGGCTGAGTCAACCTTGAGCTTATTAGGATCGAACTCCTGGTTGTGGGCAGAGTTACTTGCAATAGTGCATTCTAACCATTGCGCCACCATGGCTCAACTGCAGCTGCTGTGCTTCTCTTCTATAGGTTGAGCTCACATGAGACACATGAAATTCATTGGTACACCAATTACTCTTTAGCTTTAAAATAGAATGACTGGCATATAAAGGCCCTAAGTGTCTAATCACAAATATACCTTTCCCTCCAGTATAATGCATTACCTGGCGCTGGAAATTCAGTAGCCTAAGCGCTTTCAACTCCACTGTGGCTTTAGTCCTCAGATCTGGAGGTAAAGAACCAGGCAAATTTTCTAATTCTTGAATTCTGTGTGCAATTCGAGCCTGAAGCCTATGTAGGTAAGGACACAAGAATTAAAAAAAAAATGAACTTATCAGTTCCAAGTCTCTTTCACTATCTCTTGGCCTCTCTAGTTTGCTTTATGCATGCATATCAGCAGACCCTGTGTTTTAAAACAAATAAAGTGAACTGAGCCATAGTTTTTTTTTTACTGTTGAATAACACCCCCCCACACAGGTGTGCAAACATTTTGTGCAAAGGAATCTGGAGTTTTCAAATGCTGCTGTTGTCAAGCCCCACAAAACTGGCCAATTCAAGAATGGAGAACCATTCAGATTTCAAAAAAACCCTTCCTTGATTGGTTAAAAACTGTAAAAGTTCTCAGGTAGACTTATAACAAACCACTCAAGGTGGAGTCTCTTTTAAACCATGCCCCTACCCTAATACCCCTGCACCTTTCTCTCCTTCAGTATCAAGGCATGCAGCCAAGCCCGTTATCAATGGCCAGAATTCCTGGGAACAGGGATATCATATTAGTGGTGGCTGGAGCAGTTGCAAAAGCTCTCTTTTTAACATCTGCGGGAAATGTAAAAACAACTTGAACTACCATAAGGACAATTTTAAGGCTACTGGATCATGCACTGTGTAATATCAATATATATAATCAAAGAATGAAAATGCAGGAACCCATAGTTTGACGTAAACATGAAGAAATTCAAAACTGGATCTCCAGGCCTTTGTTGCCTCACAAAAACCTTATATTAAGAACTCTATATGATCACACTGTCAGCATTCTGAGTAATGCACCCATTGAAAGCAGAACTCCGAGGCACGTGGATTCCTCAAAGAACAGGTTTATTGGATACATCATATTGGCACAGCCGGTGAAAACCAACTCTAACAGTTCCTGCGGTTTTCACCTAATTAAAAAAATAAAAATTCCCCCTCTCAGGTGTCATCGGTCACATCCCAAGCCTCTGAAGGGAGCCCTGGCGTCTGAGGTCTTCCTCAGCCCGGTACAAATCCCCGGTGGTCGTCGCCTCCACTTGGACCTTGGGCTGGGTCACCACCAGGAGGGCGGCTTCTGTCAGCATTGCTATAGTCAGGACCTCTGTAGGGGTCTGCAGGCTCTCCATGGGGGTCACGCCGGTGCGGTGGCTTCTTGCCCCTGCTTCTCCATCTCCAAGGTCTTCCCTGAGTCTTCTCTGCTCCTCTCAATAGATCAGGTAAGCAGCCAGGGCTTAGGACCCTGGAGAGCAGTTCCGGACAGTTTGGAGAGTTGGTTTAATGTCAGCGTTCAGAGTAATGCACCCATTGTAAGCAGAACTCCAGTAGATTCCTCAAAGAACAGGTTTATTGGCACAGCCGGTGTAAACCAACTCTAACAGTTCCCATGGTTTTCACCTAATTAAAAGAGTAAAAATCCCCCCCCCAGGTGTCACTGGTCACATTGTCCAATGAAGATGGATGGCAGGCTCCTCTCCTCCTTCAACAGCCACCTGTTTCAATGACCTTGGTTCCCACAGGAAAACTTTATTTTGACTGTAGCCAGGCTATCTACTTCCCCCCTCGCTTCCCCCTCTGAGGCGTCATGGCAACTATGAGGCAGCACAAGATGGCTTCAGCCAGGCTCGTTTCAGAATTGACACACACTTCTAACACACTGAGCTAGTGAAGATGAAGTGACATTTATCTGTTATCTAGCATTGACAAACCAAGCATACAGCCTCCAGAAAGTTTTCCCTATTCACAGAGTCCTTTTTCCCCCAGTTATCCTTCACGGAACTTAAGCAGTTCAAGACCATCATCCTTGGCTAAATGTAATGTTCAGCCTACAATCTGAAAGCTGTTTCAAATGGTGTATTGAGATTCTAATTAAATGGGGAGCAACTAACCCTCAACTGTGGTTAAGATCCTTGCTAAAAGATTCTTTAACTGTGTTAGCAGCAAAGAGGCAAAATTGACAAGTAGCTATAGTGAGGAAATACACATCTTTCAGGGTAATTTCTAGGCCGTTAAAATGGTGTTACAGCCACAATGGGTCATTTGTCTTAATAGCTGCTATCAATATAAAGAATATGTTTTTAAACTAGCTGAAGCATGTGCACTGGAAGAAACTACCAACAATATCAAATTATCACCACTGCCATTAATTTGAAACCAAGTTTAAAATCTGTAGTCTTATTTAGCATTTCCAAAATAAAAATAAATAGAAGTGAAATGGTCTTCATTATGACATTTAAAACGAAAAGGCTCAGAATTGCTTTTATTTAATTACTATGGCATTGTATCAGACACGGAATTATAATTTATGTGGCATCTTGGAATACTTTATGGCAATCTACTTTGTCCTAAAATGTAGGTATCTAATACTTAAATCATCTTCACTGCCTAATCTTTAAAACAGATGGGGAGAAAGGCTATTTTTATCTTATGGGGGAAATATTAAAAGCCATTAAGTCCTAAAATCGAGACAAAGAGGAAAGCAGTTTTCTGAAGCCGCCAGTTAAAGGGCTTTGGGGATTTAAGCTAACCCTGTCCAAAATTTGTTTAATTAATCTCCACAGTGTAGTTATTTGTCTTTTTCTAAGCAGAATGAGAATTCTTAAAGGGATGATAAAGATCTTCTTGCAAAAGGGCACCATCCCCTTGAACCAACTGAGCACAACTACAGATGTTATTGGATTCTAGAGTAGGTGCCACAACTGCAGAATGTTAGCTCAAGGAGCACAGAGAGGCAATTAAAAAGATCCATTTGATATAATCCACTCTGCTCATCATTTCAGGACAATAACATATGCAATTTTTTAATGAGTAGTAGAAGAAAAGTAGCTTTGCTCATAGTGGAATGACATTAAATTACACTGTACATTAGTCATTTCAGAGGAATTCATTAAGATTAGAGAAGAACAAGTACTTTGTTTTGTTAAGTGTTAGGAGGGCTGTTTAAGAACTTGTGCATAAATTTATCAAACTCGCCCAGCTTTAAACAGCAAATCGAGTTGTTATCAACATGTTAAATATGTGAAGGGTTTATAGGTATTTTTTCACAATATCTGTTGCTGTTCCCATAAAAGGATAGTACTTAAGAAGACACTGTATAAACCTGTGTATGTTAAGCACAATGGATTTGACAAGCGGCATCGTACTGCACTTTGACCTGCGGGAAATGGCTGCAAAAAAGCATGTGAAATATTAAGCAACATCAAATACGCAGGGTAACTTTTAGAACATGAGAATTTATTTTTTTTCGTTTTTCTGTTTTCATCAGAAGGATGAACAGAAATTAGAATACAATTACTCGAATTAGACATAAAGAATGGCAGCAAGGATGATCAGGGACTAGAAATTAAATTCTGTGAAAAGAGACTGAAGGAGCTGGGTATATTTAGCTCTGGGGTAAAATCTGAGTTGGGGCGATATGATAGCATTCTTCAAATACCTGAAAGAATGTCACACTTGAAGAAGGTCAAGACCTGTTCTCTCTTGTTCAGAAGTGCAGGACAGGGAATAATGGATTTAAAGTTACAGGAAAGCGGATTCTAATGGTGGGTTAGAAAAAAAACTTTCTGACAGTAGGAGTACTTTCACAGTGGAACCAATTACTGTATTCAGAGAAGTAATGGTCTTGCCTTCATTACATGCCTGTAACTAGAAGGTATCTGGGATACTTTAGTTTGGATTCCCCCACTGAATAAGGAGTTGGATTCAATAAGCCAAATGGCTCCTTTTGCCTATATGTTTTTAAGACATTCTTAAAACATTAAAGCTTGCCCAAACAAAAATCAAATGTATTAACTAGAGACACTATCGGGATTTATTCCAATTTTAATCTCACTTAAATGTAGTTCCTTTTTCCCATTACTGAAATACAAAGTTCCAGATTTTTATTTTTTTGCTTTAGAGGTTTCTGTTTGTTTTTGTTTTGCTTTAGAGTAAAATTGTTTTCAGTATAAAGCTTGGCAAATAAAAAATGCCTTCTACTGAATCAGAAACACACATATATTGTATACATACTCAGAGATTTAAGGAAAGGAAATGAAAAGATAGAGGGAAATGTAAATATTTATACAACATGCACATAAACCAAATCTGCACAACTCTTGAGCACCAAGACCAAAAAAGCCAACTTGGACTAGAGAAAAAAACTGAAAGGAAAGAGCTGTTCAATCAATGGGCTATATCATTTAGAAAAATTATAAATTACATAAACTGGATGGCAAACAAATTTGATCTTGAAAAATTAATAAAGAATCTCCTATATTAGACTACTGAATGGATAGAAGTCACTTTGAATAAGAGGCAAATGAGTACTCTCATGTAGAGAGATCTATTTTTTCCTATTAATCTTTCCAAATACACATATAAATACTTTTTTCATTCTGTCATTCTAATGTGCCCAACTCATGAAAAACTTTTTCCGGGATATAACTGACTGCAATAGAAAAAATAGAAGAGGTTCTGAATAGCACAATTTTATCATTTCCATATATATATATATTTTACAGTAATTGATTTTACTTAAACCTGGTTGAAAAACTCATTTTTTAAAAAACTATCAAAATTTTGAAGATTTCTGTTTAAATCCAAACTCCAATCCCAAACTGACTGGCAATTGTTAAGCCTAGCCTATTTTATTCCAGGATTGGAAAAATTTCCTGTAGCAATCGTTTGTGGTTATGCCCATAAAATTTTCTCTAGTTTTGAAATGTTTATAATAGGATGCCAAAGGTTAGGGATTAAAAATTTGATTCAGCCTTTCTATCCCCTTTATTCCCCAGCCCTACTTCCCAGCTGATTTTCAATTCTTTTCAAAAAAAAAAAAAAAAAAAAAAAGCTATGAAGTTTAATTTAAAAAACTGAAATGACAATAAAAATCATAATTCACAAAGCAAGCTAATCTGAAATACTCCAGTTTGGCTATTACCTATATTCCCGTTCCTGAAGAATTTCAACAGGATCCAGCCCCTGAGGCTTTTGGATGGGACTGATACGGTTCTGTTTTTGCTGCAGCTGAACAATAGGCGAAGGCTGACCAGCTGCAGGCTGTGGTACAGAAGGACCTGGCATTACAGCTGTGGGTTGGGTAGGAGCAGGGGCAGGTGATGGTCTTCCACTTGGAGGAGGAACAGCCAACTTTTGGGGTGTATTTGAGACATTTATATCCACTCCTTGCCCTGAAAAATAAAAAGTGAGATAGAAGAAATACTGGTTAAAATCTAAGCATCTTAATATAAAATTATTTTGTTGAACATCTAGATTAGGGGTGTCAAACATGCGGCCCATGAGCTGCGTACAGCACACGTAGGCCACGCCCACCACGGCTCCACAAGGGCAAAAAAAATCTCGATATATCACGATACAGCCCGCAATGCGATTGGGTTTGACACCCGTAATCTAGATCAAATGATATCAACTTCAAAACTTCTACAGTACTTACAGGCATTCACATGTACATACTAACAGAAGCATGAATAACACAATGTTTAGGTTTTTTAATGTTTAGTTTTATGCCTTAAAAAAACATCCCTCGTGAAACTAATATCTCTGCCCTAATCTATGATTACATTCATTATTTTCAATTTACTCTGATTCTCAAGTTATGGTTTTGGTCTCTTAATTATCCCTGTAATGATGTTTGTAAAACTGCATTATGGGGGGGGAGGGAAAGAAGGAGGGGGTGTCAAAGGAACAATGTTAAAGGGATTTCAGATGCAAAACAACAAAAGCAGGGGAACACCTTCTATTCATTACAGACAATTAAATTATTTTTCAGTCAAGAACCTGGAAATGCATCAGAAAAAGGTAAATAGGTTTTGAAACTTTCTATCTGTTATTCACACATCTGATAGACAACACAAATATTTTTGCCTGGGATTCCAGAAACTGAGCAAGTGTGATTTTCTAAATGTTATTCAGCTAGAAAGCAGGGAAGACTCTTTCATATTCTAAAAAGAAAGGCAACAGTAGAATAGATAACTGGAAGCTAATTAAAACCAAGCTAGGAAGAAAAAAATGTAAGAAAAATATTTTTCAGAGATTACTGCCACCTTAAAGTCTTGTCAAAATCTTAGATCAGTATCTCTAGAAGCAGAATATTGTGATGACTCCTTGAAATGAAAACTTGTTCTTTTCCACTAGAACTATCATTAAACCTCACTTCCCATGTGGGCATAGCATAGAAGAGTGATGGCTAACCTTTTTGCCATCATGTGCCAAAAGCGGGGGGAGCACGGGGGGAGGGGTTGCGTGTGCACATGCCCTCACCCGTAATTCTATGCACCCCACCCCCTTGCGCATGCATGTGTGACCCCCCCCATGCTCCCCCCGCTTTTGACATGCAATGGCCTGGTGGCCCTGGTAGGCCCATTTTTTTGCCCTCCCCAGGCTCGAGAGGCTTTCTAGGAGCCTGGGGAGGGCAAAAATGGTCTTCGGAGGCTGGAAACGACCCATTTGCCGGCTTCTGGTGGGACCGGAAGGCCTGAAAATCAGTTGGCCAGCGCCCGCAAGCACGCTGGAACTGAGCTTGTGTGCCCACCAATATGGCTCCGTGTGCCACCTGTGGCACGCATGCCATAGGTTCGCCTTCACGGGCATAGAACATTGAATAATAGGATTGGAAGGGACCTTGGAGGTTTCCTAGACCAAGTCCCTGCTCAACCAGCAGAGCCTATGCTGTCCAGTCTGTTCTTGATAACCTCCAGTGATGGAGCACACACAACCTCTGCAGGTAAACCATTTCACTTGATTAATTATTCCCATGTCAGAACATTTCTCCTTAGTTCTAGGTTGGATCTCTCTTTAATCATCTCCCACCTCAAGTGCTTTGGAGAATAGGTTGACTCCGTCTTCTCTGTGACAGCCATTGTTAGACAGGTCTTCACAAGAAGAAACTTTTGTCTGTTGGAGATACTTTACAAAAGGAGCTTTGGGAGGAGAAAAAAGGGGAAAAGAGAACTAAAACGTATCATGGTTATCTCTGTTCTCTTATATCTTCTCTTATATCTTGGGAGAAAATTACCAGCTATTGTGAAGATGTGCCATTAAGACAATATAGAAAGGAAAGGATTTGAAAAGACCTTTTTTGCTGCTTCTTTCCCCTCCTCTTCTCAGATCACGACTATCATGGTTAACTGCACATGAACTGCTGGTAGTTTTGGGTTATGGTACTGCAATTTTACCTTCTGGCCAAGTTTTTGGAGCCATGGCAGCTGTATGTCCTGGCATTCCTGAAGCAACTCCGTGTCCAGGCATGGGAACAACTCCTGCAAGGAAAAATGCACATGACCTCTTATCAGAAGGTACCAAGAACTTTTATGCAAAACAGCTTCTGTGCCTTAGAGGTGATTTTCGGGAAATTCCTTCATATGAATTTTGTGTGTGTGTGTGTGTGTGTGTGTGTGTGTGTGTGTGTTGTTAATTAAACATTTACATTTTACATTTCAGCTGAGGTTTTTAAATAGAAATGTGATGTTTCCTTTTTTTTTTTTTTTTTGCTCCATTTACCTAGTTCATACTAAAAGTAAACACATACAAGGAAATCGACCCCAATTTTTATTTGAGGGCAGACACTTTATTTCATTTCAGGGATCCCTATGGAATTCAATACAGTTCTGTTTCCTTCTTTCTCTGCTCTGAGGTAAACGTATAGAAAATCTCTCACCAGGACATTACACGAAATGATATTCCACCACCCCACATAGAAGTTGTTTGTTCAAATTACTCAGGATCCCATAATGCCTCTGTTTTCTGCGCTACTCGGCCACATTGCTTCTACATGCATGTATGCACTGAAGCAAAAGGGGGAAAAAAGAACAGGACTCCCTTTTATTCCTTTTCTCACAAATCACTCTTTGAATTCCGATTTACACGTAATTGAGAAAAGGACACAATTTTGCCCGCAGTCTTACATAGGTATTATAATATAGAAGGTAGCCATTTTACCGGATGGTTTGTAAAGAGCCTGTTGCTGCTGAATCCCAGGCAGTGACCTTTTTCCTTGTACAGCAAGCTGAATGTTTTCAGGGATTGGCTGTCCTCTAGCCAGCATTTTGTATGCTAAAATCTGAGCTCGGAGCTGATGCAATTGAACAGGACTGAAAGGTGAAGGGCCTCTACTGGGTTGACTCATCACTTGTGGGTCCACAGGCATCATGGGTCCTGGCTGGCTCGGTTGCATTTGAGGTGGAGTTGGACCTCCTCCAGACATTGGACTAGAAACGTGCTCAGGTGCTCCCAGGGGAGACGGATGCGGAGACATATAGCCTGTAGCCGAAAACAAAAGAAGCAGAAAATTCATGATTATTTGGTTTCCAACTAATAAACCCTAACAACTGAGTACTGCCATTATCTGCAATAATCATATTTTTGTATGCAAAACTATTCTTCCAAAAGACATTCCTAATTCTCGAGGGAAAAAAGGAGTTATTAGGCACATTTCCCTTAGGCACATTTAAACTGAGCTCTTATCGCAAATAACTTTGTTCTCCATGTTTAAAAAAAAACCCTATTATACCAAAGAGTGGTCAAAACAATAGAAAGAAAAATGAAGAGCTAATCCATGTCACATTATTTCCTCCCATTGAGATTCAGTTGGAAATGTCACCCTTACAGATATAACTAGTTTGATTTTGTTTCAGGATGCATATCCTGCCTTTTTTATAAGTGACCTTTTAAGACTAATTACTAAATAAAACCAAATGAAAAACCTACCAAATCAAATAAAAACACTTTTAATGCTGCTTGCATTAAGCTCTTATTGCCCATCTAAGGAAGATAACATATTCAAGCATATACATATGTGCGTATTTTAACATGTAGTTATTTAGTAGTGATCACTCTTCTACTATTCATCAAGTGAATAATAAATTGGGAAGAGGTTTTGATGTCTTGTGAAACTTACCCATTATAAATGTATGTAATTGAAATTTCAAACGAAACATAACACACACACTTTTCTCTCATGCACACTAAGCATTTACCACTGAAGAACAGAAGCTGGAGTCACACAAAGTACAGACTGAGCATCAATGACCCTTTCAGAAGAGCAAAGGTAGCAATGTCTTCCATAACATAGCTACAGCATGCAAGCTAGGAGCTTAAATATGGTGCAAACAGAATGGACAAAGGGAGATTCACGAACCACCAAGTTTGGAAATGATTGATTACACAAAAATTGAAGCTGCAGGTGATTTAGAGAATTTTGTCTCTGAGAAAACCAAAGCTTAAAAACAAGAAAATAAAGGAAATAACCAGAACATAAATCTTAAAATAAGGGGATTCTTGACAGTGAGTGATAGTCTAAAATGCTCTAGGTATGGAAACTGACAAATACATGTTGTAAATATTATGGACTGTATCTGGGCTTGAGGGGAGGAGAACAAAACCCCCAACAAATAGACTGTGTAAAGCATTCTAAGAAATGGAGCCTTGGACACGTGAAGACCAGTGAATGACCCATTTTTTTTAAAAAAATTTTTGATTTATATGCCGCCCTTCTCTGGAGACTCAGGGTGGCTTACAATGCGCTAAGCAATAGCCTTCATTCTTTTGTATATTTATACAAAGTCAGCTTATTGCCCCCACAACTGGGTCCTCAATTTACCTACCTTAGAAAGGATGGAAGGCTGAGTCAACCTTGAGCCTTGGCGAGATTCGAACCCTGCAGTAATTGCAGGCAGCTGGTCTTAATAACAGGGTGCTTTAGACCACTGTACTACTAAGGCTCTTTGGATTTGAAACCAGAGCTGCCTGGAAGCTGGTCACTGCGTGAAAACTACTCATGATGCAAGACTTAGGGATCTCAATAATAATAGCAGCAACTCATGAGACACAGCTGAGATGGAAAAGTAATGCAGTGCTATAAAAAGCAGGAGCACACAGGAAGCTGACTGGAAGAAAACAACTCATGTACACATATCTACCCACCAGACTCCTTGATAAGTTTGGCGAAGATTCAGTGGGTCTGCGAGTGAAAGCGGATCTGCATGAATGTACTTAAGCAAAACCTGGCTACATGGTGCTCAGTACAGCTGGGATCCTTTGTAAACAGGCTTGCCACTTGCTAACTTACTTCAATCTGAGATTATTATCTCACCAAATGATATGTGAGTCTGGTCCCCAGATAAAATGCCAGACTGCTGCCCTGGGCTAATAAAATAAACCTCAAGACATCCGTTCCTGGCCATTCACGAGCTGTGCACAACAGCCTGTGAAGACTGGTTATCTCCGCTCAAACAGTGATTGTTTACAATATGAGTGAAATGATACAACATGCTTTACTTATCCCAGAGCAGGCAACTATGGCCCTTTTATGACTTGTGGACTTCAACTCCCAGAATTCCTGAACAAGCCATGCTGGCTCGAGAATTCTGGGAGTTGAAGTGCACAGGTCATAAAGGGCCCATATTTGCCCACCCCTGCCTTGTACAATACATGCTCCCACAAATAAATCCACCAATCTGTTTATTCTGCTAGGTTCCAGCTTTACCTCTCTCAGTCACTGCTTGAAATGTTACTGCACGATGCATTTTTTAAAGTTTATTTTTATCCCACCTTTATTACTTTTATAAATAACTCAACAGACATACTCAAATGCTCCTTCCTTCTCCTATTTTTCCCACAACAACCACCCTGTGAGGTGAGATGGGCTGAGGAGAGAGCAACTAGCCCAAAGTTACCCAACTGATTTTCATGTCAGTGAAACTAGAATTCATAGTCTCCTGATCTCTAGCCTTGTCTCTTAACCACTAAATCAAACAGGTGCAAGAACAAAAAAATGTGTATTATAGAAAATGGCAGGCTGTACTCAGCTGTGCGTATCCAATGGCAGAACAATATGGGCAAAGGTTCTCACTTCCTCCACATGTATCTGCTCAGTTTCCAAGAATTTCCGTTCTACCTCAACTTTCCCATATTGTAGAACTTTCCAATCATGATGTTCCAGTCCATAATGTTCCTCAAGAAAATTTCCATTTAAACCATTTTATTCTAGTTTTCCAGATGAGAAGTTGAAAGACAATTACTGTTTGTCTCCTATGGTTGTTGCAAAGTGAAGAGATATTCTATGCCTCAGAAATTATGACCATACATAACACAATCCTTTAATCAGGCAGGCATGTTGCATTGAAATGAACAGAACTTTTACATGCACCAGTGTTATGCAGAGCCACAAAGTTGTTATCAATGTGCAAACACTGGTAACTGTGACAAACTCTTTAGTTCTTCAGCCATGCAAGCAATTATATACAATAGGCATATATTGTATAAATGTAATTCTTTCTACTGAGCAGAGTAATTATGGGCTATATAGCAACATAGACACCAAAACGAAATACAATATTTTAACATTTAATCCACAAACATTTAACCCAATCACTTTATAGACTTTGTTTTGAACTTCCAGAAAGTACAATAATCCACCCCTACATCTATACTACAATGGATATAAGTCCTACTTCTAGAACTGCAGTAATCTCCATTAGCTTTCTTTTAACCAGTGCCTTCTATGGGCAATGGACTTCAAGTCTATAAATACCTAGCCAACCCAGAGGACATCAGATTAGGCAATGCTGATCTTAAATGTTCACTTTTGTCCTGGAATCTTAAGACCTGGTATCAAACCTGTCTGGCATTTTTATAAACTCTCTTCCACATTTATTTCCATTCAGAACCAACACTGACTGTAACTCAGATCCTCTGTTACTCCTTTCCTTCCTAAGCACAGTAAGTTGCCAAAATTCCTTACAGCTTAATTGCTTCTAAACAGCAATCCTCTGAGCACAAGCTGGAATTAATATAGTACTAAACCAGCAATGTTTTAATGCATGAAAAACATTATTGCTAAAGCAGTGCAAAGGTAAAATTAAATATATAAAATAACAATGGTTAATTAGTAAAAAAAAAATCTAAATTCAATTGCACTCATTTTACATTTTTAACTATTCAAGCCTTACGTTTAATCAGGCCTATACGTGTACCATATGTATTTAATCTTTTAAAGAATTAATTAATTCAGATAGAACAGAAGGGAGGAAGATTGAAAAACAGCTGAACAAAAATCCTGCAACTTCTATTCTGCAATGCTTACTCTAATGTCACACCTTCAGAGAATCATCACAATACTCCCTGTACTTAAAATGCTCTACTACATAACTGAAGGCAACAAAGATTTTGATATGAATATCTTTTCATAATAACTGCAAGAAACGCTCATACTCATACTCATACTCATTGTCTAAATAGCACAATTATCTTCTATTTTAGAAAGGCAACAACACTTAGACTTATATCCACTTCGTAGTGATTTACAGCCCTCTCTAAGCAGTTTATAGTCAGCATATTGCCCTCAACAATCTGGGTCCTCATTTTACCAACCTCAGAAGGATGGAAGGCTGAGTCAACCTTGAGCCAGTGAGAATCGAACTGCTGGCATCAGTAGAATTAGCCTGCAATACTCCATTCCAAAACTCCTCTTCAATCACCAGCCTTAATTCCTCAAACCCTTTCACTTTTGGAAAGGGGGGAGGCATGCAGATAGCAAGTACGTCAAATTTGGTCTATTCTCTCCCATTATCCAGCACACCACCAAAAATAGCTCTACTAAGAGAGATGAAAGTAAAATGAATTTGAATCACTCTAAAAACAAGCTGAGCTTTTCTCAGATTGTGGGAAGAGCGAGATAACTTATCATAACAAGCTGTAAAGAGGAGAAATTCCTGATGAATTGTAACCCATATATAATGAGTCATTTGGATTTTCTGCTTCTGGACCAAACTGTCTTGTGTTACATGTACTATAGCAATTTTACTGCACAATTATTAGACCTGTGATACCATTCCAGTTTGCACAACTCCAAACAATCAATGTGCAACCCAAGGTAACTATTATGTCAAAGATTATGGGATTTGTGTTTTATGTGCTAGCCACATAAAACACATTTTTGTTTGTTGTAACTATGTATGTGACTGCAATTAATCTACCAGTCTCAAAGTCACTCCCATTTGTTGTTTTTTCTTGAGAAGAACAAAAAAGAGCATTACAACAGAGTCAGATAAATAATCAGGGGGGGGGGGGGGGGGAGAGAGAGAGAGAGAGAGAAAGAAATGAAAATTTAAAAAACAGTAAGTCATAGAAATCTCCTTATGGAGCCCAGCAACACTGTCATATTTTAAAATAAATGTCTGTCACCCTGTTCTGTGGAGCTTCTGGAATACTAGATAGCTGTTTAAATCATGGAACATTTGTGAATATTATATAAATATCCAAAAGGAATTGCAAACGAATGGTTTCAAATATGAATTCCTTGGGGAAAGGGCCATGAAGGGTGTGCTCCTGTAAGTGCTCATTTGTTTTTTAAAATTGCCAGAGATTATTTTATACTAACCTTCTGAAGTTCTGAAAGCTTAACCAGGCAGCATATGCTGCTACAAGAAAATTTGACCTTTCAGAGGCCTTCCTTGTCTTCCATAAGCATCTGAAAACAAACATCTGCAGAGGCACTGGGGGATTGCGACATGAAGCTTTGGGAAAGGCAGGCAGCATTATTAACATATGGCCCAAAGAAAGGAACTGTGGAAAAGGTTGCATATCTATCTTGAAATGCATTTTTAAGTCCGCCAAAGCCACACCGTTTTTAGATAAGTTAACACCTGCATCATTGCTTTGAGGAGGGAAAACAAAGGCCCCTAACTATGCCCTTCAAACTGCCAGATGCCCGATATATCCACATCTAAATTTCTGAAGAGCCAAACACAAAACTGGACACTTGAATAAGCCACAAATGATTTATATTATATTTGGTGACCTATAATTTGCACATACCCAATTATTGGAAGTATTTCAGTTATTACAGCACCACGAAACAATAACCAAATTACTCACCATTTCCTTAATAAATAACAAATTATAATGCCAAATATTGATCTAATCTTAATAATTGTATTCAATTACTTAATTTGCAAAAATAACTCTCTCTGAAATAGAGCTGGGAAAATAAATGTTAGTAAGGAAAAAAAACATGGGTGCAATAAAATTACAATAGAAGAAAATATAAGTAGGTTAGGGTTGAATTCAATTCAATTCAAATTCAATTCAAACTTTTATTGTCAGAGTACAACATGTATACAATGAGATTGGCTGAGCCTCCCTTCGTGCACCCCCCCTCAACACAATACAACTCACAGTGAAAGAACTGGGGAGTCCTTGATACTCTCTGAATTTGGTTGTTTGCTTGCAGACATTTCTTTACCTAACTAGGTAACATCATCAATGCTAATGAGTGTGGAATTTTCTTCCTGTTCATATACAATAACTTGCCCTGCCAGTATTGATAAGGATGTGGTTTTCTTCTTGGTAGTTTCTTGTTTAGGGCACATAAACTGAATGAATGAATGAATGAATGAATGAATGAACGAATGAATGGAGTTGCTTTCTGCAAGTGTTTGTTTGGTGTTAATTCCTGCTTATCTGGGTGTTGATTGGTGGAGAGGATGTGTTCTGGTCTTTTTTATTTCCTTTTTAGTTTTTTAATTGTCTCTTTTGAATGGCATAATTTATCTCTATGATTACTGATTTATCTGAAGTTTCCAGGAATTCCCTAGCATTTTTAGATTTAGCTTGGTCTGGATTCTCAGTTTCCAAGTTGAAACTAGGTGATGCTGCTGCTGTTATGCATTCAGTCGAGTCCAATTCATAGCGATTCTATGGGCCAGGTCTCTCCACATCTTCTGATCTTGCACTATTTTGAAACTATGTAGCAGAGTGCATTTATGAAGACATGATTAAACATCCTTAATCTCAAAACACATGGACAGACTCAACCATAGTTTCAACTTGCCAGAAATAACAACACTTAATTAGCATTCAGAACCAAATAACAGCAATGGTATTTAATTACACCATCATTATTTGGCTGTGGAGAACACGTTTTCCTTAGGAAGTGCACTTCTTCTTCTCCCTGTTCATTTGAGCAGAGATGTTTACTGTCTTCATCCTCCCCTTGGCACCATCAATACACCAAGTCATGATAAACTACATCCCTGAAGAATCTAAGGACAGTTATGTGTGCAAATTGCTAAAACCTATTCATCTTGGTGTTAATTTTATTTCCAAATCATCAATGCAGTTTAAACATCCCTGAATATTTAGTATTACATTCTACCATTTGATTTAGAACAAAGAAGCAATGACAAAGCTTGGGAGTTATTCACTGACATAAGAAAAATGTCCTCCCACTATCCACAGGAATGTGGATTATGAAGTAAATCAGATTCAGCTTCTACCAAGCTAACAAAAAAAATAAAATAAAAAAATTGTGGCCCAGATCTGTGAAAAGTCCATCTGTATGACTGAAATCAGCCAAATACATGCTCCTTAATGAGGCACTGGAATTCTGTTGTTGATGTATTTTATGATTGGAAGGTGTTATTTACTCCAAGTGCCACAGGTTATTAGGTTATCAGTTGTTGGATTTTAAGCATTGTACGCCACCCAGGGTCAGTCTTGTGAGACTGGCCAGCCATATGATTTATTTAAATAAATTTTAAAAAATTATAAAAATAAAAATGCTAGAAGTGGGAAATAGATGAAAATTATCCTCCTTAAAAACCAAGGTACATGAGTAATGAATATATACTGAAAGTCTAGGTTTGAACTTTAGATGGGGGGTCAAACCTAAGCCTGAGCATCAATAGTATTGTGTTTTTAGAAAGTCAGCAAGGATAAAAACAAAGGTATTTTTTTTCCTTTATATTTTTCACTTTGATGCTGGAATATGAAAAATTTTGAAGCAACTTCTTTACTTTTTTTAATCTCCAGAAATGGGGAGTGGGGCGTAGGGAGACAAATAACCTTTAGTCTGGAAATCAACTAAGTAGTTTATTATTACTGATAATTTTAGCATTTTTAAATTGGCCAAGTTTCATTTCCCACCCTCCATAAAAAATGCATCCTAACCCAGCTGAATCTCACAGTAAAGTCAGTCTCCAAAGCTTCATCTCTAAGGATTACCCAGGTGATATGATGTAGTATTTATACTAAATCCAAACTGGAAAGAGCCCATGGCAGTCTTATAATATACGTACTTTTGGCAGAGTTCAGATTGTTAACTATAAATATGACTCCAAAATCACCCTTGGTAAGTTGAGAAGGTGAGCACAGGGAGCTACAGCTCAGGCCTTGCTTCAATCCCTTTCAGAACTAATTTGAGAGAAGCCCAGGACCGGGAAGAGCTTCTGTCCTGTTCCTTAAGTCTCAGGGGAGGAGTGTGAGTGTGTGTGTGTGTGTGTGTGTTTCAGCTTCTTTACGAAGGGACTGTGGAAAGGAGGTGAATTTTTCTCTGAAATGCAGGATTGATCTCAAAGTCAAAAAGCTTTTGCTGCTGGGACCAAGAACTGCCAAAGAAGAGTTATGCTGAAGGACATGGATGAGGATCAAAGAAAAAATATACACTGCAGACCTAAATCATATAACTGAAATCGTATTTCTAATTCTTACATTTCACATCTTCCCCCCTCAAGGAAGCTGTACATTGTTATCTTTCCATCTTAACAACTGAGTTTGGCTTATACGTGTAATTGTCTTTGAATTTCCTTTTTTAAAATGTGTTACGAGGTATGCTTGCAGGATATAAGCTGCTCTGAGTAAAGTTGCCTTTTGCAATTGACTGATGATAAATTTGTCAATGCCCATGGTGTTCAAGTGACATTGTTTTGGCATTCCATCCAAGGCATCTATTACTTTTGGTACTACCTTTGCCTTTTTCTTGTTATTATTATTAGATACACGTATTTGTGGATAGTAGTATTTTGATAAAAAAATAAAGTGTCCTTCAAGTCAAACTCAATCACATGCAGTTTTTAGCAAAAAACAAAAACAACAACAAAACAAAAAACAAAAGCCACGGTCTTCTCAGATATAAGGAGCCCTGCTGGCACAGTGCTTAGTGCAGTATTGCAGGCAAACTCAGTCCACATGCTGGAATTCGATCCTGATGGGACTCAAGACTGACTTAACCTTCCATCCTTCTGAGGTCAATAAAATGAGGATTCAAGGTTGTTGGGGACCATATGCTGACATTGTTAACCACTTAGAGAGGGCTGTAAAGCAGAGGTCCCCAACCCCACTACCAGGCGGTGGCCTATTTGGAACCAGACCCAGTGAGTGGCGGGCCAGTGTGCAGCTCTATTTGCACGAGTGGTGGGTCAGCGCCCGTACATGGTGCACAATTCAACTTGCGTAAATTGAGCTGCTCATGCGAACTGCTTCTATAAAGCACTATGGGGCAGTATATCAGCCTAAATGCTAGTGCTATTAATATATTTTCCAATTTTCTAGTCAAGCCTGCAGCCATAGTCAACCTTACTCCAATATAAGCATGTAGCTTTCCTTATTCAAAGCAATGAGCAAACTACATATTATTTTCTCTAGATCTTAAAAGTACTTGACATTGATGAATACTTAAGAAAAACAAAAGTCTCAATTTTTCATTTTCTGCATCACTTTGAACTTATCACTTCAAGCAAACATCGTCTACCAGGTATTATTTATACCTTTAAAGGTTTATCTATAACACAAACGCAACAAGGCTTAAAAGCTATCAGTTCTCATGTCAAAAAAGATATATAATTTCACAATTTTATGAATAATCTAAAATAGGACAAAACTATAAACCTTGACTGTGTTGATCCATTGGACTCTGAGGTGGTCCCATGCCAGGAAGAGGTGGTCGCATGTTTGCAGCCTTCATGGAGCTGTTGTGTAGGTCTTCAACTATCCCTTTTTCATGCAAACCATCAATAGGCTGTAAGAGCAAAACAATTTTAAAAAAAAATTCTTATGTTTCTTGGATTTACATCCTGCCTTTCCTCCAGTCTCTTTCCTGCCTCTAATAAGGCTTAAGCAATGTGCTACTTTGGCTTGCTCCGTTTGAAGATTTATAGTAAATTACAATACTTAAAACACACTCATGCAAATAAGCAAGCACAAAATAGTATTAAAATCAGACCAAAATGTGCATGAAAACATCAAAGAAAATAAAAAACACAGTCAGCATTAGTAGGAAATGAAACTGACCTTAATATGCAATAGCAGTAATATTTTCTGAAATTACATAATTTTATCTTTTTTTTTAATACTGGCTGGGATCTATGAGAATTATAACCACCACCGCTTCTGGAAGTGGCAAGGGAAGGCTGAGCTATTGATATTTTAAATACATGCCCTAACATTCTTCTGTTTCTCTTCCCCCAATCATTTATTATATGTAGACACTTGTAGTGAGCTATATTTTGGCAGCAATATCAACAATAATCTGTGTTCTGAATTACAGAGGAATCCAGAGGCAAGCATTACTAACCAGATTTTTTTTTTTTTTTTAAAAGTTACCCTTTCCCAACCTTACTATCCTCCACGTGAATAGTCCAGTTTCCAGAATTTACAGCAATGGTTGTGTTGTGTTGTCTGGATGAATCTGGGAATGAAGCTTAATTTTTATATGTAATAGTTACTACCATGCTGTAAAAAAAGGTGTTTTCTCTCGTTACAGCAGTCAATCTTTTTTCAGGTACCCAAGGGACCAAAAGAAGTTACAGGTAGTGCTCGACTTACAACCATTTATTTAGTAACAGTTCAAAGTAACAACAGCACTGAAAAAAGTGAGTTACGGCCATTGCAGCATCCCCGTGGTCATGTGATCAAAATTCAGATGCTTGGCAACTGGCATGTATTTATGCCAGTTGTATTGTCCCGGGGTTATGTGATCGCCTTTCACGACCTTCTGACAAGCAAAGTCAATGGGGAAACTGGATTCATTGAACAACCGTACGACTAACCTAAGAGCTGCAGTGATTCATTTAACAACAAGAGAGGTCATGAAATGGGGGGGAAGCTCACTTGACAACTGTCTTGCTTAGCAATGGAAATGTTGGGTTCAATTGTGGCCGTAAGTCGAGGACTACCTGTAGGTAACTTCACAAAGCACTTTTCAGTTGTCACGTAACTCCAGCAAAAGCCATTCTTTACTAGCAAAGCAAGGCTGTATTCAAGAATCAGTTATCAGTGAAGGGAAAGACGAGGAAGAAGCTGAGCCATCAGAGGAAAAAATGAAAGGTCAGCTGCACGAGGCAGGAGAGGCTGCCATGTGAGGACAAGGTGAAGCCCACCCTGCATTCAAAGAGAAAAAAGGAGGAGGAGGGAGCCAGGAAAGAAACCTGAAGGCTTCTGAATTGAATCATCAACAGAGGGTAAAATAAAAAAGATTTTCCTCACTTGTGAGGGGAGAGCCCAGGGGAAATGCTATTTCAGGGGAAGAAACATTTAATAGTTGCTCTGAGAGTGTCTAAACAAACATTATGTGCAGCTCTCTAAAGACTGTCTCCTCTCCATACATGCAAAGCTGAAGGGCTCAGGTTTCTCACAACAACTCTCAGCCAAGCCCATATCAGGTTTTAGATCCCAAAATGTGTGTGTGTACATGTGAGCACAAGCGTGCACCCAGGCACACACATACAGATTGACTGCTAGGGAAGGAATTGGGAAGTGGAAAAGGGAAGGATAGGAAAAGATAAGAGAGAGATTTAAAGGAATAAAAATTGAAGAAATTTAAAAACTTAGTAAGGAGAAAAAACACAAGAATTCCAGATTTCTGGGGTGCAACTCAGAATTTACTGATTTTTGGTCTGCCACAAACACTCTTCATACAAAATTGCCATTTTTAAATGTATCTGTTCCAGTGGGTTATTCAATACCCTTTTTTCCACTGGCAGAGTATTATTTTTTTCCCCCCAAAAAAACCCCTCCCCACTTGTAGTTAAAGCTACAGAGCTAGCAATGTACAAAAACTGGATAAGCTTTGATCCTTAAAACAGACTGAGGAAAGTACTCATAGTTATCAAGAAAATAACAGAGGACTTCTTTCAGGAAGTCCACTTAGCTAGTTACAATGGAGACCTATCAAAGGTGAATCTGGGACAAGATATTCTAAAGTTACAAGCACTACATGTCTATTTCCTGTTTTAAAGTTGAGCTCAGATACAAAGAAAATTGAATGGCTGTATCTGTAGGGCATAAAACACTCAACCGTATATTATTCTCTGATGCAAGGAGTTTTATTCCCTTGTTTAATATGGACTCTTAAAGATTCAGAAAGTTCCGTGACAGTTAAGTAGATCAGTTAAGAACTGAAAAGAAGCCAGAAGGTGGGATGAGGAAACCCTGAGAGATTAATTACAGGAGAGAAACTGATGCATATTAATCATCTCTTAATAGTCTTGAGCAGTTACAAAAACAGGATTAATATATCAAAAAATCAAGAGACAAGCAGGCTGTTACTCAATCCAATACCCTAGTGCTAAATTAATGAATTAAAACTGCAGTATATTTGAGCACGTGGCGCTGCGCAGCACAGAAATACAAAACATTAATTCCTACTTATTTAATATTTCGGGTTTAATCAACTTCAACAACTGGGAACAAAAGGCTGCCACCAATAATCAGTGTTGCCCTCTATCAATATTTTCTATTGTTTTCTAAATCATAATGGATGCCTGTTGTGCTTGAGACATCTCAAAATAATTTAATTCGAAGTCATCCTGGAAAAGAGTTGATGTAAAGGAAAAGAAAAAGAAAAAGAAACAGTGCTTCAGAAAGTTTACAAGATCATGAACATTGTATTAGGGATAATCCATCTAAAATTAAGCAAATTAAAATTCCATTGATTTCAACAAAAGGTGTTTTTTTTAATTAAAACCACATTGATTTTTTAAAAATACTTCATTCTTATTGCAAAACACATATTAATTATCTGCACAGTTGATAGAAGTATTATGGAAGAAAAATTCTATCCCCAATCAAGGTCATATTTTATCCATCCCATCCTTCTAATGGAGGGGAAAAAAATACCAAATCACAGATTATAAAAGCAGTTTGAGGCACAGCGAATACATCTTTAGAAGTGATAAATGAACTGTCTGCTAAATGCAAATGATAAAGTTAACAGACAGTTTCCAAGAGATAGTTAAATCTTAAAACAATTGAGGTGATTATAAGAATTTTGAAACATTATTTTTGTCCTTAGTCTTTCCCAGAGACATATACTGTATTTAATATTTCTGGGAGAAGTAAGAAAAGAGTTGTAACTAGAATAAAGCCATTTAAAAATTACTATTTTTATAATGCTGCTTTCAGCTTTTATACTAGAGTTTTTGTGTTATTTCCCATTCAGATCAGCAAGAAATTGTGCTGTTAAGGGTTCAACAATCATGGTCAGAAGAGGCTCCAAGAGCCATTTAAAAAGGTTTAAATTCCTCAAACCAGGAAGGATGGATTGGCAAAAACTGAATAGACAAAGAAGACTTCAATGTTACTATGCTGGCATTCATTTGGGACAATGAATCTACAAAGGAGGGCATCTACAAGGCATCTACACTTAAATCTTCCATATCCTGCTGTGTTGAAAAACAAAACTTCTAAGCAATACTTATGCTTTATTGGTCTTTCAGGAGAGCTGCCTGTTTATCTTTATAAACTTATCAAAGGGAAAAAAAGGGAAAGGTTCCACATTGATCAATGTGTTCAGTTCTTGAATGCAGACAAGACTTCCCTTGAGGCTGTTGATTGTTGATGAAGTAGGCACCCGCCTGTCGAATTGCAGACCTAAAAGAATGCCAAAACCTTCATGATGACAGTGAGAAAATGGAAGAGAATCAACTGTTATTGTCTCAGCAAAAGGAATATCCTGACCATAACCAAATTAATAGGACATCCGATGACCAGAATACTGCTTATGCCCTTTATTAGAGTATTTCTGTTGCTAAGACAGTAATTATTGATTCAATGTCCCTGTCATCTGGTAGTACCTTATTATTAAGTGCCTCCATACCAAGAAAAGTATGGGTGTTTAGATCTCCAGTCATCAAAGATTCTACAAATTTGGAGGCAGCAAAAGGAAGAGACTGAAAGTGGACTGGAAAGTGACTTGTGGGTAAACTGTTTTTATTGCTACTATCTTTTTTTCTTAGAACAAGAGAAGGAATCTAAGGATGACTCCCATATAGCATTTTCTGTTGCTTTTCTTGTCACCATAATGAGCCACTGAGTTTCCTAATTAATGTCTTGTTGATTCTTATTAAAAAAAAAGGTTCTCTAAGCAAGAGGGATGTGTTCTAACCTAGGCTTCCTTAGAAATTAAACAGCACAAACTTAGTCCCTACGGCTGTAAATTACTTTCATTTACAGTCCACAAGGCTTGATAAACAGTCTTTCATAGGAAGGTTATCAACACCCACCTACCCACCCACTTTGGCAGTGGAACGCTGCCAAAGAGCTAATTCCAGACGCAGGGCAAGGCCAAACTTGGCACAGAGTCACAAACAGAATTTTCAAATCTTGAATCGGCCAGATGAACTAATTGCTTCCTGCAAAAGCGCACGTCCCGTTCGCTTCTCTTTTATGTCTTATAGGAGGGGCCAATCATCTCCAAGTCTTACTCCCAAGTCGATCCTGTTTCCTTAATTGTTCCTGTCTCCTGGCAGCTCTGCACATGCACACACTGGGAACAGCTCACGCTGTTCTTCTGCCTCGCTGATGTCAGACCCAGAGACTCCAGAGGCAGCAAAGAACTACCAGATGGCCTTGGCCCCCTCTCTGCCTCTGACTCAGAGCCATTATCCAAGCCTTCCCCAGGCCCATGTTCCTCCCCAGCCTCCTCACTGTCCGAATCTGCTACCAGCTCTGCTGGCCGCTGGTAGGCCACAACAGGATGAGCGAGAAGCCACAGTGAAAGATGCCTGCTAACTATAGTTTGTAAGCATACTCTCTGGCTATTGAGGAAGAAAATGCACTTGAGCAGACAATGGGTGGTCCATACAGAGCAGATACCCCCTCCAGATATACTCTATTTGCAGTCCAGGCTGACAAGCCAAACTTGCAGACTTTATTTTAAATTTGGGAATGAGGATTTTGAGAAGCAAAAGAATGCAATTTAAAACTCCAACTGTACACCATATCAAGCACTCTTCTGTTTTGGAAGGGCAACATTTTATTCTTTAACTATCACCCCAAGCTCCTCTATAGGAAAAAGTGGATTTGAAAATTTTAGTTCAGCCCACTAATTAATATCACATCAATAGCTATGACACTTGTGAACCACCTTGGCAAGTAAGAAGAAAAAATATAGCTCCTAAAATAAAAAAAAATGTTCCCTACTGTGCTGGAATTATAAGTTATTCTTTACATTATAACAATTGTTTCATTACATTTTTATTACATTACATCTTAAGAAGGATGAACTTTGCTTGTCACAAGTGGATATTTATGAAAAGATTCCTATCTGTACTAGAGAACAAAAATCAGACTAAAGACTTTCCAAGGCCATTGTAGTCTTCCCCAAGGCCATTTTTCTGCTCCAGACTTTGCTCCGGATACAGCTTCCCTAACAGTTCAATTCCAACTCAAAATGTATAGCCTCATCAAGATCCATAGTATCTATCATGGTTTCATTTTCCTTGATGGTAACTGAAGGTATCATGTAGAGATTTCAAGGCTGTCTACATACTGTATGATGATTATAGTCTTTGTTCCATTGATTCTGATGCTTGCTATAGGCCTCTGCAAATTCTAGCTTTCAAATATGATATACAATCCTATGTATACTCTTAGTTGACCTATTGGCAGTTAAGCCTAGTATATGAAAGATTCTGAACATCTCAAAAAATCTTGACAATTTAGTATCACAGAAAGCTAATTTTTGTTTGATCTTGACCACCTGAACATTTAGTTATGGTTAAGTCTAACTGGTCTTTTGAGCTTTATAACTTTAATATAATTTGATATGTCTTTTAATTATTGATTGATCCAGAGTTGGTTGAAAAATGGGTGGCTATATAAATGTTTTAAATAAATAAATAAAATAAATCTTATATAACTATAATAGAAATTTATACTGAAACAAGAGAGAACACCAAATAAAGAAGGAAAAGAAAATCTCCAATTTAATTATGATACCATTCTACATTATTGGATACGGTCTTATTTTCCTAAGGCACTACGGCATTCATAAACCTATATTATGAGCAGAATACTGCACTGTTCTAATTCCTGGATCTTAAATATTGTTACTCTAAAATCCCATAGGGTATTAAGAAGCTAGTGCCTATTTGAAGTCTTAAAAATGAAATATTCTGTTTTTACCTTCTAAAATATTATCCTTCTTCCAAAAAGAAATTATGGTGAATCATATACACGTTCACTTCAAAGAATGCTGTACTGAATTTAAACATATGTACTCCAACGTATGCTAACTTATCTCACTGAGGAACATTAACCACAACTGCCACAAGCAAGTCTTAATTTATGCTCTGGAATTCACACCTCAAGATCACAGTCTTAATGAATGACTTGCATATATAAAACTGATAGCAATATTTAGGATGACAAAATGATCGTTTTAGTTTTTCAGCACAACTGTTCATAGAAAACATTTGGTAGTAATACTTACTTTGTGCATTTGGTGCATGCCTTCCTGTGAATAATCACCCGGTCCCATAGATGGCATTGGATGTGGTACACTTGGAGGTCCAGGACTTGGTCCCATCATGCTATGTACTGAGCTTGGTGATGGCCCAGGTCCTGGGCTGGGACCTAGGATAGGTCCTGGAGATGGCCCTGGCCCTGGTGAAGGGCCTGGATGAGGCATTGTAGAAGGATCAGTTGGTGTAGACATCTACACTGTCTCTCTTGGAATCAGTGATTGAGCTGTAGTGAAGGGAAAAAAGAACACATCTAAATTTAAGTTGTTCGCCATTAGGAAAGAAAGATATACGACATTTAAAGAAATAATTTGTGCATGATTCATCTTGAAACATAAGAACTTCAAGTGGTTCTATATCAAAATAAAGTACATGTCAAAGTGAAGTTACTCATTTGTATCGGGAGTCCACTGTGAAACATGGCTAAAATAAATTGAGTCTTTTGGAAGAAAATTATAATACATGGTTTGTTTGCTTTTTAAATTGAGTATCCCCTTGGGAGTCTTGCATTGAAAGGAAGATTATATAAAGTATATACCCAAATAAATAAGAATTATCAGGTTTTCAAAAGAAAGTCACTAAATTCCTTTTTATTTAAAGTAGCTATTATAAATACCATGATTCTCAAATTCGCTATCTCCCTATTAACAATTAACTATACAGGATAATAAATACAAGGATAAACAAACAATAACAATGTCATTCAGAGTGTATATTTGTGTCTGTCAGAAAAAGTGATTGTCTAGACAAAAACAATTAATGCCAAAGCGCATGCTATTGCCTTTTTACATCAAGCAATATAAAGACATGCTACAAACTTAATATTTGATACGCCTTGTTATACATTCCCAAAGACTGCAATTGTATACCATTTATTTATTTGGGCCTGGTGGCTCAGCAGACTGATAGCATTGTGATTAACACCAGCTGTCTGCAATTACTGTAAGTTCGAATCTCACCAGGCTCAAGGTTGACTCAGCCTTCCATCCTTTCTAAGGTAGGTAAATTGAGGACCCAGTTTGTGGGGGCAATAAGCTGACTTTGTATAAATATACAAAAGTATGAAGGCTATTGCTTAACGCATTGTAAGCCGCCCTGAGTCTCCGGAGAAGGGCGGCATATAAATCAAATTTTAAAAAAAAATATTTATTTAGAGATTGATCCCATCTTTATTATTTTTATAAACAATTCAAGGTGAACATACCTAATATGCCTTCCTTCTCCTACCAAACCAAATTTCAATTGAGAGCAAACTCTCCTAAAAAGTAAGCAGACCATCTCTTCTCTCAATGGGACATATTTTTGCTCAGACTAACTCATTTTACAAATATTCTGCTTCTTACAAATATGCCCATCGTGTAAAATTTAGCATTCCCCATTTTGGAGCCCCCCAGATGCATTGACTTTCAAAAGTCATGCAAGTTAATGACTGAATTAGCAGAGATGCTTTGATTAGAGAAAATGGACTAGATAGTTTTATATGAGACTGGAAGCCATCTGTGGACATGTCAAATACAATAACAGATGGTTAACAGAAGGATTTGAAGATTAGTGTAATGTTTGGGTTAACCTGTTGACTTGGGTTTTTTTTTCATATATATTATGATTAGAGGTTGAGTCGATTTGATTATCAGATAGAGATCCCCTCACTTGGAACATTTGTTTATTTAATATAGTATTTTTGTTAAGTCAATCAAAAATCAAATAATTGTAGACCCATTATGTAAAGAGGAGAATTTATCAGTTTTCTTGGGGTTTTGTTCCTTTCTCAGCATCGAGCTGGGGTGGGTTCTATATATTTAATGTTACATTTATTTGATATTTGGGTTTTTTTCTTTTTGTACACATTTTTTCCTTTTTTTGCAGTTGTTAGTGTTGGATGTATGTTTCTCTTTTTTTCTGTTTTGCATTTTTTCTTGTTGATAAAACAAAATAAATATATAAAAAACCAAAAGACATGCAAGTTAAGAGGTGATGGGAGTTGAAATCCAACATATCTGTAAATTACCGCATCTTTGCTGCCACATATACTAAGCCAAGTATGCAATATTCGCAGCCTAAAAGCTGCAGGTGGCATCAGTGAAAGATGATGATATTTCAAGGGTTTTACGGGAGGAAATGGAAAATGACATTTTCAGAGGCTGCATGCAGCCTAAAGGTTGCCCCCTCTGCTCTAACCCTGAAGTGAGAGGCAAGCAAATTTATAACATGGCATACAAGTTATGGAAAGGGAAATAATTATTAGCTGGAAGTTCCTACAACTGCTAAGTGCAAAGAGTTATTTTTGCCCCAAAGTTTCAGGTCGAAAGCTACTTAATAAAATCCAATCTAGCAATAGCAGGTTCTTAGCAAGCACCCTGTCAGACCAAGCACCCCATTTGTATTTTCAGAAGTGACCTCTGACCTAGTTATGGGGTCCTCACTATTTAGGAACCAATTCCCCCAAAGCTGACAAGACATGGACCCACTATCTGAATTTTTAAGATCAGGATTAATGTCTTAAGAGAGCGCCTGAATATGCAACAATACTCAAGAGTTTTACTAAATTTTTCTAAAACTTCATATTCTTATGCCTTAATATGCTTTTCTCTGATAAGGCAAAAAAGAGTGGTCATTCACTTCACATTAAAGAGAAACTCACTTGAAATAAATGGCCTTAGGAGCTCATTCCTTGCAGGGCAAGATATGGAAATACCTCTGAAGCTTTAAACAAAGATACAGAACACCCCAGGGGCTAATCTGTGCCACCCAATACTAACCACTGTCACAAAAGGATCTGCTTTATATGTACATAACTATAACTACTAGGTCATTTACATGGTACCTACAAGGAAATTTGGGAGGGGAGGGGCACTGTAAAACAACTATGTTCTTTGGCTCACAAAAGAACACCTCCTAGCAATCCCACCCAGCCTAGCAGTGGTGAGGGTTGCTGGAAGTTATTGTACAGTAACTTCTGGAGGGCCACCAGGTTTCCTTTTCTGTGTTTCAAAATGCCCACATTCTGGGGAAAAAGTAAAGCAAAAAATGGCACTGCTATCAGTTTAAATTTAAATAAGCCCTTTCAAAGTACTATCCTGAGAAGCAGCATGCGGTGTTTCAACTAAAGCTGCAATTGGCTTTGCATTCTTGGCAAACAGTATGCTACTGCAAACTTACTCTATTGTTTTGGTAAATGTTAACCACAGTTGAAAACTGCTACAGCGTAACAGCTAAAACTACCACATTAGATGGCCAAAAAGTGTGAACATCTTTCCAACTGTTAGAATTGTGCTAGAATTGTATTCTGGGGTCAACTCTTCAATCTGTCCTGTCACATAAGCCCCTTGAGTAGAATTCCTTGTATAATTGTTTCAATATTCTTTTTGTCCATCCTCATAGGATAACATTATTTCAGTGAATAATGAATTATTCTGTGAACAATAAGGGTAAACTTACTCTTACTTTATTTAAAGAACTACTTCATATTCCAGAGGCATCTGCAAAGGGAACTTGGCGGGGTCATATTACTGCGGCACACAATATTTGTGCGACATGAATTTGTACAGACACGATGCCACTGCACACAATATAGAGCAGGAAAGATGTTTGTACAACAAACACCCAACACTGCTTCTGTCATTTGGATGAATGCACTGGATCCTGGAGATACCTCTAAGACTACAGCAATAGCAGTAATACTTAGGTTTATATATCACTTCATAGTGCTTTACCCCACCCTCTGAGCAGTTTACAAGGTCAGCATATTGACCTTGATCCCAACAATATGGGTCCTCAGAAGGATGAGTCAACCTTGAGCTAGTTAGGATCGACCTCTTGGCTGTGAGCAGAGTTAGCCTGCAATATTGCATTTTAACCACTGTGCCACCACATGCAAGATTATCCATAAAAAAATATTGAGGACCATCTACTGCAAGCTTGGAGACATAATACTGTTTTATGTTCTATACACAGAGTTTTGTTCTTTTTCTTCCCAAATTGGATCTGTTGACCCAGTGTCATGCTTGGGGACAGGTCTGAGTTGCACATCAATCTTAAATGAAAGGCATTTTTTTTTTGTGAAAAGTGGCATTCAGCACACAAATGGGCACTGACAACACACTGATTCAGTGTCAGGGTTCCAAGTAACACCCCCAACAAAAGAAAACTCCGAGGTTTGAATTTCCCCAAAGTTACATTTTATTAGAGATATCATATTGGCATATCCGGGGAAACCCGAATCTGAAAGCTTCCAGGGTTTCCCCACCCAAAGGAAAGTTTAAGTCTCTGCCCAACACCCATAAGTTTATCACACGGTCCAATCAAAGCACCATCTCAACTGGAGATGCCTCTCAGTTCCAGCCTCCCAGGTACAGGACAAGATGTCCTTGAACCTCTGAGAAAGGAATGTTATTATGACTATATATCACCCATGCTCCATACAATTCCCCCTCCCAATTTCCCACAGTAGTAAATGTGGCAGCTCTGAAGGCCCAATACAAAAGATGGTTTCCAGGCCTGACATTCAGTATCAGGAAGTGCAAAATCTGCCTGTATTTACATAAAATGGAACCACTGCAGTCAGAACTGCTGTAATCCTTTTAATGGAGTGACTGAATTCTGAGCTTCAGTCTCTTCCCGCAAACCATGCCTACAATATAAGTTACATTACTTTCATGCAGTGCCAGCCGGCATTGCTCCCAGCACTTACGTCTCACCATGTGCTCTTTCTAGTGTTCCCAGCACATGTTATAACCACATCTGTTAGATTATTCTGGGGAAATTGGCCCATCTCTCAGGGATAGCGAGATTTGGATGGTTTTCATTATGTTCCAGAAACCCTCCTAATACAGACATAGAGGAGTAGTAAAAAAATATCTATACAAATATAGCAATTGCTCCCACTTGTGAAAATCTCCCAAGTTTCATCAGACAAGTTATTATTGCAAGTGCAGATGAGAAAAAAATAGAAGCCAGATAAAAAAGAAGTCAGATGAAAATGAAGAGATAAATGTAATGGCCGGAATCACTTTGTGGCTTTTCTTTTAAACACATTTTAAATTAAGATTCTTTTTTTCTTGCACACATTTAGCCTACAGTGGCATGTCTCCCGTTGAAATAGAGACTGAAAAACAGAATGTCTCAAATTATGAACAATTCATGAGAAAGGTCTGGTACACGTGAGGAAGCCTATCAATGCCAAAATGCCAGCATAATTTGTATTACTGATATGTTGCCAGAATTATA